AAAGTCCCAGAAAATCATTAGCAAATTGGATCCACAAAAAAAAACACTGGAAAACTAGAGTTTAACTGCATCTAGATTAAAAAGGAAGCATGAAACATACCCTTGCCATTCTTGAATGTGTCTTTCCTTCAACTTCTTCCCAAAAGCAACCATCTTTTTACTGCACTACGCAAATAACAGGAAAAGCTAATTAAAAATTAAAATTTGAATGCTGATTTACATGTACACACAGATTCATTTTCGCACGCACGTGCATGTAACTGCGCATAAAAATACGTAGAAATGGATATACACACACACACGCATATGTATGTAGACATTCAACACTCCGATTGAATCCAAAATGTACGAAATTGGAAACTTTTTGCAGAAAGCATTACCGCAAAACTGGAAATTCTGGGAAATCCGCGGCAGTGTTGTTAGATGACCATCAACAAACAGAGAGTGTCTGCAGTGTTCTCAAAAAGAGAGAGAGAGAGAGAGAGAGACGTTGTGTTCTGAGTTTCCAGAGAGATGTTGAAGAAATTCTATGGAATGTTGACGAAAAGACAGGCCCAGAGTGGGTTATAACCAAGACGTCGGATCGAATCGAATCAGTTATGAATGGAAGCTCCAAAGAAACTAACAATTCGGATCTTTTAGAGAACCAAAGATTCAATTTTTATTGCAGCAGCAGCTTCAGAAGTCAGAACTCATAATTCCCTATATTTTTTCTACTCTTTCCTTCCATGATTGCGAGTGAGCGATATGATATGACAATCCATGCTGACATGCATGTGTCATCTTGAACACAGAAAACAGATAGACAGAAGAGGGTCAAGTCCCATGTCGCCCATAATTAATGCCCTTGTATGATTTCCAGAAATTTTTGTTTCCATATCACCACGCTCAAAATGTGTTGTTTCTTTATTTAATTTAACTTATTTTCACTAAAATAAATCCTGATTAATTGTCAAGGACCTTGTGGTCCAATGACACTAAGTTGTTATGAACAGATACTACGTTGTAAAAATTCAGTCCAAATCTTACTCATTAATTTTTATTCTATGATGTGACAGTTACAGATAAGCTGTCTTTTTTACGTGAGTCTCAATACAAGTGTGAGAATAAAAGTTAAGAGTAAAAAATGATACTACATCTAATATTTGCCATAAGTATATATTTTAATTGGTATCGAATATGTGAGGCCAGAACATGGATGAAAGATTAAAAATATAAAAATTTCAATACTAATATTTATATCATTACGTGCGTGTTCACAATGGGATAGTCTTTTGTTCATGTCAATTTAATGATGTTTTTCTGATCTGGATGAGTTATACGGAGTAAATAATAATAATAATAATAATAATAATAATAATAATAATATATTATGTGAATCCACCAATGGTTATATCATACAGAGTCGTTACACACATGAAACATGACCCATCAATAACTCACATATATTAAAACCTTAATAAAGAAAGGCCACGTTGACATCTAAAAATTGCTAGTGAGAATTTTTTTTAATTCTACTGACTCTATTACATTCTAGTATCTGTTCATCTATCATTTCTCAATTTGTTGAAACACAAAGGGTCAACACCGCCTCCACCGAATCTCGGTGTCATGACCTCAAGTATAAAAGAGTCACTACATGTTATATGAGCATGCACAAAGTGCTTGGCATGGAAGCTCTGAAGAAACTAACAATTCGGATCTTAGTGAGAGCGCGACTTATTGATCTTCTTAGTTTGAATCAATCAGTTATGATAACTTAATTAGACTGGTTTACCTCATTATAGTCCTTTGTTGAGTAGGAGCACAAGGTAAACACACTTTCAAATGCACGTACTATTAAAATGTTTAATTGATAAGTATGTTTTATGTCAATTTAATTATTTTATTTTAATTAGTCCCTTGATCGACTCGTTTTAAGTTCAATGGTTAAATCCTAGACTATTGTGATGTATGAACAACAATATAGACATATATAGAAGAAGAAATACGAAGGATGGAAGATTATTACCTGTAAAATTGAGAGAAGAGATCTGAAAGCTAAGATTGCACAATAGATCAGAGAAGAAAAAGTTGTAGCTAGCAGCAATAAGTTGAGACACTGTATCTACATAGGGAAAGAACATATATGAAATATGGTTAAAGGTTAAAGTAAGAAAATGTGTTTGGCAACAATATATATAATACCTAAGTGGTAGAAAAAAATTAGATTTTGAGATTCATTGAAAAATATATATAACACAAACCAAATATAATAATATAATATTCCAAAATTTATATCACCTTAGTAATAATTGAAACTCTTCAATTTCTTTGTAGACTTTCTTTGTTACCTTTCATGGTTTAAATAGAAGATATGCTAAGTGTAACTTCGATGAGTATGAACTATATATATATATATATATATATATATATATATATATATATATATATATATAATACTTTTGTTATGACTCGTTTTTAATGAAGTTTTTAATGGAAGCAGTGAATGTCTTGATTTTAATTATGTTGTTCTACGTTTTTTTTTTTTTTTTTTTTTTTTTTTTATAATTTCTGAAGGGTACCCAAAACTACTACAAATTAGCTATGAACTTTAACCTGCATTCTCTCTTTCTCTTTTTGCATTATATTGTTTGCTTCTTCATTTAAGGGTGATTAATAAAAATCTCGTTTTAATTATTTATATCATCATTTTATTTGGTCATTTGTGACAAAAGCATATATATACACAGAGAGGACACACATCCATGTCAACAGCATTAGTTTGCGAGCTGTGGTAGTTATAATGGTTGTAGATTCAGTAAAAGAACGATGAAATTCCTTCTTCTTCTTCTTCTTCTTCTTTTTTTTTTTCTTTTTTTTTTTTGTATTTTAATAATAATTATGGAGAGGTAGCTAGCTAGGTTGTCCAAATAACGACCCAACAAACCGTATGATAGTGAAATTGAGATTTAAATATTATTTTCGTGGTTCTAATTTAATACGGAGTATTTTAGGCCGATGAGTTATAGTACGAACTATGAATCATGTTTGCATGTGAGCTGCTGGCTAAATTTTTCTATGCACCATTACCTGCAAAATACATTTTTAATATATTAAAATTACATATTTACATATTTTATACACAATTTTTTTTTAAACAAATGCACATTATTTAATTAATAATATACAAAATAATGTATTTTACGTACATAAATAATATATTTTTAGTATATTAAAATATATTTTTTTTATTTATGGTCCATATAATAATGTTTGGTTGTTGAGTGACTTGAGTCCCTATCACTTTGGAAAGAAAAGAAAAAAAAGTTAAATGTATATGTTTACTCCGATCTGTATATTTTATTACTTGTTAATAAAAAATGTTGATTATTTGGTTATTTATTGAGAAGAATTAATCTTCTCTTTTTTTTGGTTTATACTACTTCTGAAATTAATTGGATTTTAATATACGATGTTCCCATAAACTTTTAATATATGCTGGTCTCAGAAAAATTTACGCTAAAATAATTTGTGAAAGTTCGATTCACCACACAGTTGACTTTGGGTTTGGAGAGTGGAAGATCTTCCCAAACGGTATAAGATATGCTAATGAAGGTTTATTGATGCAAATACTTAGATATTAAATTTAAATTAGGAATAAGGTTCAAATTGGCCACTGAACGTAACCTGAAAATGCAATTAGGCCACTAAACGAAAAAAAAGTGCAATTAGGCCATTGAACACTCAAAAAATGTGCAATTAGGCCACTGAACTCTCCAAACGTATGCAATTTTACCGGATAGCAGGTTACCATCAATTTTAGCAGGTTACCTGCTTACGTGGCAACTTAGTTGGCATTTTTAATAATTTTTAAATAATTTTTAATAATTAATTTTAATAATAAATTTTATAAAAAATTGGAAAATATTAAATAAAAAAATAATAAAGTCGTTTTTATTTTTTAAAAAATTTTTTTAATAAAAAGTTATTATTAAAATTTATTAAAAATTAATTAAAATTTATTAAAAATGCCAACTCAGCTGCCACGTAAGCAGATAACCTGCTAAAATTGAGGGTAACCTGCTATCAGGTGAAATTGCACATTTTTGGAGTGTTCAGTGGCCTAATTGCACTTTTTTTTCGTTCAGTGGCCTAATTGCATTTTCAGGTTACGTTCAGTGGCCAATTTGAACCTTATTCCTTTAAATTATTTATAGAAGTTGCAAAAACTAGTGGCGTGCAACATGATTATGGACTAAAAGATCACAGGTCTGATTCTTGTCAACACCTTCTTGGTCGAGCTCGTTGCAGGATCTTACTAATGTGATTTACCTTTTCTATGTAGTTTGTGTGCTATTACACATCATCAATGTTAGTGTGCACCCTCAAATAGTGGCTACCAGTTTCTCTCGTTACCCATCCAAAGAGAGTGCAAAATTTTGTCAAGCTGTACCAACATATAAAGGTTTCTGCTTTCATGAACACTGATCTGATGAGCACAGTCAAGTATATATTGTCCTTAAGCCAATTATGAGATGAGAACCAACCAAACCAGCCTGTGGGCTGGGTGTTGAATTGATTGGCTATTTGTTCATATTTCTGTGGTGGGTCATGAGCAGCATTCAGCATTGCAACATGAAATTAAATTTGGTACGTGTTTCCAATTCTTGGAAAAAAGTGGATTTGGCATTTTCTTGAGAGGCAGTGTTATACTTTGTTTGGTAGGCAAAAGCTTATTTTGAAGCACATTCTGGAAATGACATGAGTGGGTGAGGAAGAAAGAGGAGGGTTGTTAGCCTAACTTCAATATTTTTTTCTATCTTTTTTGCTAGATGGAACTAAAACTTGTCCAAAAAAACAAACTCAACGGTCCATTTTGTGGGAGGATCAGTGTCTGGTGTTCACATTGAGTGAAACTCTCATCAGAGTTTGATTTTGGATTCTTGTTCACAATCTACCACACAAGAACCAATTGAGTTGTCTGAAGAATTACTGAAAGAAGAGAGATGCCACAAGTCTAAAGAGTAGCCAAGCACATACATGTTAACAAGAGGGTACACCAACTTAGTAGAGCCATTACAATCTTTTATTTTGGTCACTACAATTTCATACATTAACAATTGACAATTACTACTAAACTTCAAGTTTTGACTCAACTCAACTAAGTCTTAATCCCGATCCACTACACGAGATTGATAAACCTAATGATACAGAACGAAACAGATGGCAATCCATAGCTTTTCTATGTTACTTCCACTAAATCCTCTCTGCCTACAATAATTCTAGGCAGACAAGCTTGAGTGGGAGCAGCATAAAAAAGCATGACAGATGGACTGCCCTACAAGCAGAATGTAAAAAGATTAACAATTATGGAAAAGGAAAGAAGTGCCAGCTTTCATGATAGTTTCCCATCACTGTACTCTAATGTGCAGCTTCTACCCACAAATGAACTCTTATTAGGAGCATAACATCAACTCTGCAGGAATCTTGAATCAGTACCCATTCAACCATCGCGAATGGTAAGTTTTTGCCTTCTTTGGAGCAATTAGCTTGAGAGCATGATGTACGCACTTGTGATAAGAAAAGTCTTCGACTGTTCCATCTGAACGTACCAAAAGGAAGCAGCGGGAATTTGCATGTCCTTTATGCTGACCAACCTGTGATGAGGATGAGTATAGAATCACAAAATTTGCAGAAACGATAAGGGGCAGGGAAAAAACTATAATAAATTTTCATTCTTGACTCAAACAATCACCTCTGTCCATATGAAACAACAATTACAATTCGGATTAAAACAGTGGTATGCAATATATTTCCAAGCAGTATCTCAATGTAAGCAAACAAACTGTTGGGATGGTACTATTTTTCCTCCTTAAGACTATAAAGAATTCATTTAAAGCTAGCTGTCGAGTGGAAATTTTTTTCTGCATTAACGAAAGCAAATTTTGCATTTTGCGCGTGAAACATGGTCTTCCTATAAACCTACCATTTGGCGGATCAAACTCATAAAAATACCATTTAATTACCCAGTAAATAATTAAAATAAATATTGATAGTACTTTTATATGGTCAGGAACCAATCTCAGATTCACATCATATTTCATATCCAGTATATTGTCCCTAACAGAATTGAAGTCTTCCAGTCTAGTTAAAAATACTATTTTATGCTTACATACCTTGATTTCATGTGCTCCAGTCCCAATTTTCTCACTCCTTCGAGGATGAAAATATAAGGCCCTCATCACAACAGACTTGTCAGCTTCTTTCAAATGATCATTAATATCATACCTATAAGGAATAGATAAATTAAACCAACAAGCAAATTATAAAGGGTAGGGGAGAGAATCATACTCTACCTAGGATGTCATAGCGATGAGGTATTAGCTTTATTTATGATGTGATTTTTTTTTCCGTTAGATAGTTAGGATGTGGTAAGGCTTTATGAGGCCATTGCTTGATTGGACCATGCTTTATTAGTTCAGTAAATTTCCTACCTAATTGGCAGACATAATGTAATGTGATTGCTTATTCATTTTTGGATTCTCAGTTTAACAGCTGTTACTTCACTTCTTGAGAAGTAAGGAGTTGATCCAAAGCAAATCAGTAGATTGGAAGTTGGAAGTGAGACTGTTATTGACAAGAGTAAATCAATCAAGACTTTCCTGATGCAAATTTTTGAGGTACTGAACTCATTTTCATAATACTGTTTTTTGATGAATCTAAATACCACTTTTCACTTCTGAGTACTGATTCTTGATGTGTGACAAAAACAGAAATGCGGAAACACTGACATTGAAGGGGTTGAGAGCAGTTCATGGGATGGCCGCTATGGGCTTCTTGTGTGCACAGACAGTGCGGTATGATTTTCACCTTTATATACATACATATATGTGTGTGTGTATTCAAACACCTTTACTGAATAACAAATTTTGATAGGTCTATGCTGAGGGAGAGCTCGGCCAACTGGAGGAGCTGCAGCTATTGCTATGCTAATAGGGCCGGATGCTCCTATTGTTTTTGAGAGCAAGTTGAGGGGTAGCCATATGGCTCATGTCTACGACTTTTACAAGCCTATTCTTGACAGTGAATATCCGGTAACTGCCTATTTTTATTATCTTCAGATTTTCTCGGTATTGTGATTAACTACACTCGTACTGTTGTCTCTGGCCCTTGGATTTGATAAATGAACTAAAGCATCCAGATTAGCATGGGTATTCACTTAAATTTTCAGTCCATTAAACATGGAAGTTTCCAGTCAAATGTAACTTTTACTTACAGGCACATGCCACTTTTTTTTCTTTCTTTACTCAACCCAGTAAATATGACCAACCACCGTTCCCATTTTTGGAAGGAGGCATGGGAGAGTGAGGCACCGAAAATCTTTCCATATATATAATTTATTTTATTCTCAAGTTGCAGAAGGTGTAAAACTCGGCCTAGGAGGCCGCCTAGGCGCTAGGTGCCCCTAGGCCGAATCAAATTAGGTGAAAGCTGCCATTTTAGGCAGTCAGCTGACTAATCACCATAGTTTCCTAATTGGCTGATTTTTTTTCTTTTATTTAGATTTGTTTTGCTCAAAACAATATAGTTTTGAGTGAAACAAACCTAATCTCAGATTCGCCTTCGCAGCATTCTACAGACCACAATCACACTTTGCAGAACCGAAACACAGCCCTTCTGTTGGAAAGCAAAGCGCAGCCTGTCCTTCTCCCCATCCAACAGCCGTTCATCATGACAGCGCACTGCCACTGCTGCACGGTTGCAGCAGCCAAGAGCCTGAGACACCATCACCAATTCACCATTTGATCATGCTCAACACCGCAAGCCACTTGACTTCGCCATCGCCAATTGTCAATCTTGCAGTTCTCGCCCAAGACTCCAAGAGGTAGGGAACATGTAAATTATTGATTTATTGCTAATTTCCTCTTGGCCTTTTAGCATTTTGCAATTTGAAAATAGCCTAGTTTTGTAACCCTAGAATTTTAACCCATTTTAAACTCCAGTTAGAAATATCGAAACTTTAGTATTTTATGAGTTTTTTTTTTTTTTTCTAAACTAGTATTATTTTTTATTTTTTTAATAGATCGCCTAGGAACCCATCAAACGCCCGATGGGTGTCTAGCAATGTTTACAACATTGCCTAGTGTTGGTGGTGACTTTAAAAGAAAGAGACAAGTTGAAACAAAAGAGAGGTGGGAGGGTCCCTCTCGGAGGGAGATAGATATGCTTAGTAGTGGTAGATGGAATTTCTATTACTTCTATTATTATTGTTTGGGGGCATGTTGGTATTTTGCTCATTATTCCTTAAATTCCAATCCAACACAAATGCCTATACAAAGTTAGCTTTGGGTATATATTTAACATGAAAGCAGTTTAGGCTAATATGTATCTGTATTTTAATCAGCAATAGATATTGAACTTGTTGAAAACCAGAATACTACAGGATGTACATAATCCCATTGGTGTCAGCTTTTGATAAAACGGAGCTCTGAAGGGTCAACTTCAAAATTAAAAAATATGCAGCTTCACTTGAATTAATTTAGCTTACTAATATTGCAAACTGGATGAAATAAAAAGAGTGAGAAATTTACTTACGTGTATAAGATATTCCTCAATGCCTTAGAGAGCCTCTGAATGTCATTCAACGTAAAGGAACTCGAAATTGCTTTTGGTAACAAACTATTTTCTCCCTCTGAATAAAAATCACCATATTTACATAGACGCTGAGCAAGAGGCTTGCTGACAATTTCTTTGCTTTCCTCGGGATAGAGCATCATTTTCTCCTTCTGGAGTGCAGCATGCTTACCCAGCAGATTATACACATCAGTGGTTTCAGAAGGCTCAAACCCCTTTTCAGAAGAGGATAAAATTAGAGCATGAAGTAGTAAGAAATTATTCACCAGTGCACTTAATATCCTTTAACAGGAAATTCCTGAATACCTTCCCAGAGTATAAAACGTCAAACTGGAAACCAGTACCAACAGGTGGAATCTTTCCCCAAGATAAAGCTTCTGCAGTCCCTCGAAGATCATCTGACAATCCCATTTTGGCTGCTTTAAGAAAACTTTCTCCAGGACTCTGCATTGAGTTAAAATACACATTAATGGATACATCTTGCGGATAACTAGGCTTAACCTTTTAGTTAATACGACTAGCAACCTAGCATAACATTGAACCAAGGAAAAATTAGACTAGTAAGAGTGTTAATGACATTACTGAAAAGCATGCTTGCGTGAAGGGTGTAGAAACACCATTTTCTTTTCTTTGAAATGACAGGCCTTTTGCACTCAAAGCAAGAAATTGTCCCGAAGATGACAGACAGTCAGTTGCAAGTACCAAGTGTTCTGGGAGGATAATCTTGCCAGTATCAGACACTGCAGAACTTAGATCCTGCACTTCAACAGTACATTATAAGTATACAACGTTTCTAATTCTATGGAATAGAAAGATATAAAGTTCTTACTACCTCAGAACAAAAAAGGAACATACTGCTGGGGAAAATTTGATTCACAATATGAAAACATGTAATCATAACTCACTCTTAGAAAACACTTCCAAGCAACATCTATCCCATAGGCTACAGAGATATCATGAATATCATCAGGATGACTGCGTTCCCAGTCGATCATAGTCATTATTTGAAGGCAACTATCCACAAGGACACTCCAAAATTTAGTTCTGTCACAGTTTTCAGACATCAAAACCCGCAAATAAAGTTCTCCAGAAGACCTTATAGAAGACTTGGATAAAATGGGTGCCTCCTCCCTCCATAAGATATCAACCTTTTTGAATGCAGAGAATCCTAAAAATCAAGTCCAGATTTAGAAATAATAAGTATTTAATTCCTCTAGAATTGAAAAAAGAATCCACTAGAAGAATAAGCACATTTTAGATTAGTGAATATATCTAGCACTTCAAAATGCATAGATGAGAAGATAATCTAAACAACATAGGTTTTAACTTCAAAGATGGACAAAAAATGATTTTAAGAAGTTGGTCGTCAGCTTTTCTGTTTTTATTTTGTAGCAATCCAATTCATATCTGTATACACACACAGAGAGAGAGAGAGAGAGAGAGAGAGAGAGAGAGAGAGAGAGAAGTGAATATTATCAACAAAAAGATGGAAACCAGCAAACATTCATGTGTAACAGTATATAAAAGCTCAAGTTTAATGAATAAAACCTTTAACAACTGTTCTAAGGAGGAATGGTATCACAAAATCACGAAGGATATCCAGCTCCGGATATGAATCTTTAGTAATTCCAACAATAGCAACTGTAATGCAAGATTTTGGGTCTTGCTTTGATGTGTCAGCAACACAACAATCCCTGTCAAAAACAACAAAGATCAGGAGAATACTTGGCTCCAGCAACAGAAAGCGGTATCTGCATATTAAGAAAGCAAGGCCAAAGCAAAGCATACACATCTAAATCTTGTATCAGAATTATTTTCCAGTAATTTAGATGGGGTCCTAAGTCCTAACCCATGGTGAAATTAAACTCAGCAAACTTTATTTTCATATGGGTAATATTCATTGATCCAGTACCAACTGGAAAGATGGCAGTCCTTGGAGTGATGTCTTACGTGCATGTTATCTGCAGATTTGGAAGTTCAACTTTTGCTTTTACTTTAGTGGCTGTGTAACTCATGTTAAGAGCATCAGTAATGGATTCTAACTTTAGTCTTCTCCTCTTTGCAATTTCCTGAAAGAATAAAAATTCAGGAATTATTAAACTTATAGATATGACTCAAAAAAATTATGATTGCATTACCTTATTTATGTGAAAATGGCAAACCCAAGGACTAGTGCGGCTGCTTCTGCTTGTCTCTCGTGAGAAACTAAAGTTACAGACAGTATAAGTAGTTGAATAGAAAACATCCAGTAGAAAAATGCATCATAAACAGTAAAACAGCCACAAATGGAATGTAAAGAAAATTACCATATCATTACTTCAGAAACAAGGTCCGAAAACAGAAGCCTTTCCAAATGATTTTTTACTTCTAAAGCTCCATATTCAAAACCGTAAGCCCACCTTCCAAGCATTTTTGACAAGAACATTGATGCAGATTTTTCACCACTACTTTTTCTTACCCCTGACTCCAGTACTTTCTGTAAAATCATAAATACCATATAAGGCATCAAGCATTCAAAAATCTCAAGTCAGTTCCCATAGAAGCAAGTATTCCCAGCTCAAGAAACATATAAGCTTGGAGCAAGAAGGTGAATAAAATTTTCAAGAAAATCTCATGAAAGCAATACAAATAACTGCCACTACTGCTGCGTAATTGTACTTTCAATATGGATTGCTTGAAGAATGAGCATAATGAAGGAAGAAAGCTCAATCTCAAATTCTCAATATTGTCATAATGAACACAAGTGTTCCCATGGATGCCAGCTTTGCTAGGTTTCCCTCTTTCATAAATGAACAAATATGTCACCATCTGCAACTCAGCATTTCATTTTCAAGCAATTGCAAGTAGTTTAGCTAAAAAGCATGTAGGAAGTATCACACCATCTCACTTCCTGTTACAACAATGCAATGTTCTCTTATTTTGTTACCTGTGTTTCTAGGTTTTCACATGCAAACATTGAGGTTTTCAATTGTTTTAATGTTTCTCTTGTTCTTTTTGGAAAATATAAATGGTTAATGGTTTATGTGTTAAAGAGAAATTTCCTACATCAAACTATACCCTCATCTCTCAGGAATCAGGATGCAGATAACTAATAGAATTACTTTAAATTGGTTAAGTTCTTAGGAGCAGAAAATAGAAGTAAACACTGGTTCGCAAGAGTGCCAGATAAAAAATTTAAAAAGATTTTTAAAAATCCGGTCTGCAGAACCAAAGGGATACAACATTACTAGCACAAGCACCTCCTTCCCTGGTGTCCAAAAAAAAAAAAGACAGGGACTTATGAAATGCTATGAAATGTTGGAGAAGATGGGAAACGGCTTTAACTGGTTCCTGTCAGAAAAAAGTTAAAGTAGAAACTTGATTAAGCCAGCTTTCTTTCTTCTTTCCTCCTCTTTTGCTAGTATACTTGAGTTCTTCCCCATAATTTCTTATCACAACCTTCATGCTATGAAATGCAAAACCCTGTGTTTTCCATTATTTCTGTAACTTAGCAACCTACACAGATATTGACCATGCATACATTGAATTGATATTTGACGCCATTCAAATAAATTCTCAGTCAGTCCTTCCTACGCCTTGCTAAATATGATGTTTGAAATTTTCATTTGCAGTCCCTATTGGAGTTCTCATTTACTTAGAAATTGGAAGTTTGGAACAGTCATCTACTGGATTCTGAAAGCATAGTACATAAAAAATAAAACAACACTACAGGATTGCTAAAAAGTGACTTCTTTTAGAAAGACGGTTCTGACTCTAGACATCCAGCTGAATAGAATAGAGAAAAAAGCATAAAGTTAGATAAACAATCAATTAAAACACAACTTTCTTGATATCAGGCAAATGTTAGGGAAAAAGGTATTGAATGCCATGAACTAGCAAAAGAATAACATGATCACAGCTTCACGATTCAGAAAACTACATAAAGTGGACCAAATATTTCAAACCTGAAATAGTTCAATTCAGACAGTATAAAATGAAGGATATGCAAGATAAGGTAATTTTATAAGGTTGAAACTATATTCTCTCATCTTTGGAGGAGGGGAGGGGAGGGGGAGACAGTTTGAGAGAGAGAACAGAACCTTAAGGTTCAGCAGAGGTGATGACTCAAGCGCACTAATGGGTTGATCCAAAGCACTGTATGCAGCCTCGGAAATGGCACTAGCAGCCAATGAACCAACAGGATGGCCACCCACTGCATTTGATGCATGAGAATGGCTTTTTACAGCGTCTTCAGGGGCTATAGTGGGATCAGATTTTTCTCGACTATAGTAAGAAAACTGCACAACTTGATTTCCATAAGGATTTCGCACTGTTCCATCATATCCAATGTAAAGGTCCCGCATGAAAAATGTGAGTTTACGAGTCAAAGTACCAGAAACATCAGCATGCCCACTAAAAGAACTTTCCCTAGTTGTTAACGAATGCACAAAGCACTCCAGAGGATTTAAACCTGTAAGAAAAGAATTTTCCACCACAGCACATGGGATGTAAGTACCAGAGTATTCCATAATATCATGAGGATGGTTCTTTTCATCATTCCATGCACCACAAGAAAGATGATGGGGGATTTGAAAAGACAATGGAATCAGAGAATGCTGCAAACCAAGACACATGCTCTGCTGTACCAATTTCAGAAGGTTACCCTTGCTCCCAGCCTTTAACATAGCCAGGAATGAGTTACCCTTGTTTGCATACTGATAAAGCAGGTTTTGGATATCCCAGAATACATCTTTGAAAGCACAAACAGAAGCCTGACTAAGTGCAGCTGACTTCTGTTTCTCAATAGACAATCGCTCAACATCAAAAATTTTTGAATTCTGATTTCCTTCAGATCTTCCAACAAGGAAATCTCGAGTATAATCCACCATGAGAAGTGTAACATAAGAAAGTCTCTCTGCCTCTTTCAAACCACATGAAATTTCAGTAACCATATTCTTTCGGGTGGATGGATCAGAAGAGAGATAAAGATCAGACAAGGAAACGCTTAATCCCCTCATTGACAACCACTCACATAAAACTTCCTGTGCAGCAAACAGGAAATGAAGAACCTGATCTCCATAATGTTTGACAAGACTACGAAAAAGATTTCCATCAGTGTCACGTAGCCAAGAAGATCCATTAGAAGACATAATTTCTCCTTTCCTAATACATACACCATTAGATGGAAAAAAATAATCAAAATCTGATGGCAAGAGCAGACTGAATAACTGCTTTCCAGTCCAATAACAAGAGCCTTTTGATAATGCTTTGAAGATAGCTGGCAGTGAGAACTGTCGAGGACAAGACATCTGCAGCTGTTGCATCTGACACTGGTTCAAGAGAACCCCATCCTCCAGAATCAAATGAGCTGCAGTCAAGCTGTCATGACTTAGTGACAAAAGGTTTCTCCCACTCTGTCCATCAAGCAATTGTTTGTCTAGAGCAACAAGCTCCCTAAGCTCCACTCTGCAGTCCATTGATTGTGGAACATAACCATGAAGGCAATCACCATCAAAGTCCCCACGAAGAGGAGAACATATAAGGGGATTTATAGAAAGAGCCGAAGTTATTGGAAGAATTCTGACAGACAGAGCAATAAGGGAATGTTGATGAATAGAAGGAGGTCTATTTATTAACACAATATCTCCATCAACAAGTGGTCTATATATGGTATCTCCTTTCTGCAACTTGTCCAGCATACTAACACGAACTAAGCCATCATTTCTGCGAACAAGGACCCATCCCTTCTGAAGAATCATGAGATCACAGTGCTCAGTTAACTTTTCTGAATTCCATGTATTTAAATGCTCAGCTACATGTAGGCTCTCTGCAACATGACATGGAATACCAATTTCAGACAGCTTTATCTGTGGATCGCCAACTACCACCAAGCGGAAAGCATGATTACTTCTCTTTGCAATGAGAAGTTCTTTCAAAAACTTCAGACCAGATGTGCTGATTGCAGGGTCTATAATAGCTTGTCTTTCAGCACGAAGCTGCAAAATGTAGGTTCGCATCACATATAAAAATTTCTTCCTCAAAAATAAATAACTAAAAGAAGACAAAGGTATTGAATGGAATATTCTTGTATATCTTACCTTTGAAAGTTTGATGCGGTCAATAACGTGCATACTTAAGTCATTGGCTGCCCCTCTAAAGTCAATCAGCTTTCTGTAAAGCCTGTTACTTTCATCCTAAATTTTTAAGTAGAAGAAGCATGTGAAGGATACTGTGGAGCAAAAAATTATGTGATTTGCCTGAGAAATAAATCAAGTTAATGAAGAGACATATTTCACTTACAAATAGCATATGAGGCCCTAATTCTGTGACACGATGACAGTTAGGGGTCAAAAGGAAACAACTGAGAAAGATTGAAGTTCTACTTTTGAGAAATGCCTCAAGAAGTCTTGAATCAACATCTTTCAGCAAGCTATAAACCTAATGGAAAAGTTGGAAACAGAATGTTTTTCAGATGCACAACAGAATTGGGAAAATAGACAGAAATAAATATCACCTCTGCAGTGAACAAACTTTTAATTAAAACCCCATAACACAACAAAGATGGACAGTACATAAATGTGTAAAGAGTCATGCTACCTTCACTCCCTCTCTTGTATCACTATTGTATTGAACTCTTTCTTGTATTTAATTACTTTGTGGACTCTTTTAATGGCATCTCTTTATCTGTTTAACTAATGGCGCTGTTGGCCAATTCAGGATAACCAATGAATATAATGAGCTTTCCTTTATAGATAATAATGACATGTTAGGGAGTAAAAATAGCATTTTTCATGCACAAACAGGAATTGCTAATTCAGTGGCAGAATGCACAAAAGGTCAAATCATTAGGCTCAATCCACAGACACCAACTTAGCACATACATATACCAAATTTTACGTCTATATTTCATTCATTCATTCCTAGTAACAAGCCAGCAAATGCAATTATTGCTAGGAAATGAAATAAGACTGAAGTTTCTGACCATGATCACTCAGGTCTGTGTCATTTGCTTTGTTACTTAAAATAAAAATTAAATGAAGGAAAAAAAAAACCGGCATATCCCTGATAACAGAAGTACAGTACATGATATGAAATAATCTGCTGTTACACCCTGAATTGTATTTAAGCATATCTCTGCTGCACAAAATTATTTGATCAAAAGCTGTAAGAACAATTACAAGGACTATAAACTTGGCAAGAGAATAAGAAAAACTGATGAAATGAAAAGGAGAAGCTACCTGTGCATATGATAGAACTCGTTTTTTTGATTGTCGAGAACTTTCATCTTGCCCTGCATCATGTGGAATTATATCCCAATAATCAGAAGCCAAACTTCCTCCTGAAGTCGTATTTGGAAACTTCCTCAACAATTTTTCACTCACTTCAGCTATAATTGCAGGCTTTCCAAACATGTCTTTGGGAGATAATCTAAATCTCATTTGTGGATAATCTTTTAAAGTTCCCTGTTTGTTTGACAGAATGCAGGTTCAGAAACTATGAAGATTAATTGGTAAAAGAATATAATAATAGACTATCCAACTTACATCACAATACTTGCAATTACCATGCTGCTGACGCATGGATGTGGAATCAACCCTCTGATAAAAAAGCACAGAAAAGGCCATCAGTAGAAGAACAATATGAGATGAGAAAATAGTTGAATAGATTAAGTTAACTACTGACTAACACCTTTTAGGTACTAGAAAGTACAAAAAGTATACTCTGGGAAGGTTCCTATGCACAATATGTACATAAAAAGGGTTGCTATAATTAGCATGAAACTTGTCTTCTAGAAAAGTGACCAATCCAACCGGCATAATCTTGAAGGAAATGTTGCCAATTAGAGTGAACAGAGGGTATGTTCAAATAAAGTTTTGACAAATAACTAACCACCACTGTGCTCTGAATGGTCAATTTGACTACTTTGCAGATTGAACATATTAACCCAATTATTGGACACAGAATTAGAAATAAGGAAACTACAATAAATGCCAAAAAAATTGCAGTCAAGGAAAAAGGTTTTTTTGACTCAGGAAGTAAAAAGCCTCAAATAAACCTAGACAGAAGGAGAATTCAATTAGGTTCTTTGAACTGGACAGAGGTGACAATGTTGCTGTTATAGAATATTCTGTGTGATTGAGTATCCCATATTTTAGGAAACTAAATATTGGCATACCATATCAGTTTAGAACCAGCTTGTATTTAAGGTGTGGTTGACTAACCCCTAAAGACACACAGAAAGAGAGAGAGAGCTACACAGAGGTATGCTTCTCACTGTTTTAACAGTTGCAATCTTTAAATAAGAAAGCATGGATAGACATGTACAACACTAAACTTAGACCATCAATCACAATCTTATCTGCAAATCTCCAATGTCACCATTATACAACTGTAGTATTCATAACAAAGTCTGTATAGTAGTCCCTGACCTTGACCTTATCACATCGAGCTGATTTACATCCTGGGCAAATTTTATTGAGAATCCGTGCAGCTTCTGATATGAAGTATGGACTGATAATTGTGAAGGGGAATTTTATTAAACCAAAATGGCCTGCAAAAGTAGAATCGAGATACATGATACTCAAGTATGAGAGCAAAGGCATGCATCAGCTCGTACATCATATATAAGTTTCTTTTCACACCTTCACATCCTTTTACATCTTTTGCACCACATGTACGGCATTCAGAAACTGGATTTGGCAGTCCTAATGCAGGATCTGTTACTTCATTCACTAGTTCTATTACCTTAGCTGAAATTTTGGCCTATACAAGTCACATGGAATTAATAAATATCCTTCAAAGACAGATAAAATAAAATACAGAAACAACATACTACCAGACAGTGAAGATAGTAGTCTAACATATCCTCCATGCCAGGTTTACAAACTTCACATAGAAGAGCAAATGGGGAAAAAGTGATGAAGTAGGCATGCACCTTAAAGCCAAAGGAAAACTGGTATAAGCCATTTTAAGACCTTATGAAGCATTAAGGCCAATAAAACCCTTTAAGAAGTGACCAGCATTGTCAAGCTTCAGGGAAAAGCTCTACTCTCATACATGGGATGGTTAGTTAACTGAATGTTTTTTCCGAAGTCTCACTAATCCTATTACTCCATCCATCTCATGTTAAGTTTCCTATTTTTTTTTTTCATGAGGGTCAATTTGAGTGTTTACACTAAGAAATTCAGTTCTTGAAAAAAGAATAAATTAAGAAACTAGATTTTAGAAAAAAAAAAAAAAAAAAAAAAAAAAAAAAAAAAAAAAAAAAAAACATATTCATGGCCATGCAAGTGCTAGCATTCTGGTAATATAAACTAAAGGGGCATGTCAATACCATGAAACATTCTGGAAACATCATTCATATTATAGAAATTGATAAGGAAATAGATAGAACAGATTTAGGACCTGCTTTAGCACTCAAAATTACTAGTAATATAAGATCATGAAACACAGCAAGTACTTACAGCATCTGACTCAGATAGAATATTAAACTTAATTCCCCTCAAGACACCTGATGGCACCGGGTACTCTATATGTAGATCATGCTCCATCAAAGGTGGCAAGCTTGTGTTCTGGAAAGGGAAATACAGAGTTAAAGTAAGAAATTTAAAGTCAATCAAGGATCTTTTATGTGCTAACACTTGACTGTTAAATACTATTTGCACTATAACATCACATATTCTTTTCAAGACATTAATGATACCAGCTTGGAAATTTTGCTTCTAGAAATTAGAGCAGTACAACCTACAATTAAAACAGCTGATGATACCTGTAGCCTTGCTGGTATCTCCTCGGCTTAGACCAGTGTTAATCAAGAAAATATCATAAACAAGATATCTTCAGGGCTTGCTGCTGTTGAAAAAAATAATTGTAGTTGAATCACTTAAAACTAAGCTTGTGAAATTACTCAATTATCCAGACATAAGGATTATGAAGCATCCTAATGAATAAATATTGCAACTGACTTCACAAGCCACACATGCAAAATAACAGTTCATTGCCCAATATCAAAATAGTCAATCATATTAAAAATGGTGTGTACTTTCATTCCCAATAACAGGTTAAAATTAGAGAAAAACCTTCAAGCTTTTGAAGGCTATGGGAATGTGGAATTTCACTTGCAAAAGAATATATTTTGGCAATTTGGCACAAGTATGATATCTGTCCATCTAACTGCTTTAGCCACCGGGAAACCTATACAGACTAAGTTAAAACATGAAGCAGCCAGACAATAAATCTCCTAATTAACAGAGTAAACACAAAGCTCGGCATCAAACATCCTCTTTAGTTTTTATCTGTATGGGTTCATTTTATATGCATTGAGACACCTTAATCACCAAACTAGAGTCATTAGATCTAGGGTATTCAACCAAAATTTACAGTAGCAAGTTCCCCCACCCAAAAATAACACACAGAAAAGAATGCGATTAAGGATAAAAGATAAATGCCACACTTGGCACTCAATATTTCTTCAGAAGAAGAAAAGAAATCTAACGGTATCATTTAATCATTAACAGATGAGATGATAAATGTTAGTTACATGCATATGATCAAAAATGAAAGTTAAAATGTGGCATTGCTAATTTCTGTAATGAAACAGTAGAATCAACTGATTCATGAAATCCATTAGAGATGAAATGATAACCACCAAAATTGATATGTCTAAATTGAGGGAAGTGGAAATCTGCAATTACTTGCATTCAATTGAATACTGAACAACAGACATGAAACACCACATCCCACATTTCTCAATTGAAACAACATGAAAAAAAAATCTGGGTTGGAGATATAAACAACAGAGGCCTCATCCCATATTTCTCGATAGAAACAACACATTAGCAACTTAATTCATTAACCCATTTTATCAATCAAATTAAATGTTCTTAATTCCATTACAAAACCAAACACCAACTACCTCTTCCATTATATTTTCAAACCCAAAGCTAAATCCCATGGACACAACTAAATTCCCATCTCCTTAATAAGCTCAAAACCTCATGCAGAATACATCCATCGGTCACAGCATCAGAGTTCAAACAAAATCCTAGGAACTGCCACTCAGCAAGAAACACAAAACATGCAAAACTCATTGAACAGAATCCGTGCATTCATACCCCGAGGAGGCATGATCAACAAAGGAAACACGCGCCCTGTATGAAGAAAATCAACTCCAATCAAAGCAAATGGTCAAATGATCAGTTACATTCACACCCACATTGATAATCATACACATAGAATGAACAAACAGCCATTCCCAGGATTCTATCAAAGCATCAATCGAAGATCACAAAAAAAAATAGAAGTCAAAACTCTCACTCATTTCGCTTAGTTGAGCTCGGCGGAGCTGGATTCTCCTCCTACCACCGGTGTGTGGTGTTACTGGGTGGGGGTAAAGACTGACAGTCTGAAAGGGGAACTGTTTTTTTCTGAAAAGCTCAACAGAACAGCATTCGAGTAAGCTCTGGCACAAATACACACATATATAGTATATATAAATATATCTCACTTTATTTTTTTATATATACATCTATATATAACGGATGAAGTGAAAAATATAATTTAATCTGATTCATTCATTCATTCCTAATCAAGGGTCCGTAATGAAGTTATTTAAAAGAAAAAATACAGTTGTATTATAGTACCATATTATTTATTTTGTACCTTCGAAGTGCGTATTATTTCGCCTTCCATAGTACATATTGTTTCGTCTTTGAGTACCATTGTTGAGCCTTCCAAAGTACATTATTGAGACTTTCATAATTTTTGTGCTTTCCGGTGTACACGATTGTATCTCTTAGGAGACAATTTTGTGTCTTCCATAATTTGAACAAAATGCAAAGATAGTAGATCAGAGATTTATTAGAGGGGAAGACATTGTGTAGATTAGAAGCTCTCTTAAAAAAAAAAAAAAAAAAAAAAAAAAAAGAAGATTAATTTGGACAAATCAAAAACTCATATTTCACCTCACTTTCGCACCCGAGCCTAAGCATATATATATATATATATATATATATATATAAGGGATCCTGTGAGAATAATATCATACGAGAAGAAATAAGAACCAATCTCAATCTTACATCAATGATTTGATCAGATTTACAACAACAAAGAAAATGCAGTTGTACTTTTGTAATTATCATGAACACTTAACAACTAAATATGTAAATCTGATAAATTTTATAAATCAACAAAAAAAAATTAAAATTTAAATCTAAACTGTAAATGCTCTTAAGAAGAAAAAAGTGAACCACTAACAGCACGTTTGGTTCACGAAATGAATTTTGAGGTAATAGGAATGCTATTCCATAAGGAATGGAATAGGCCAGGAATAGAATATGAATTGTATTCTATTGTTTGGTTCGCGGAAGGAATAGACTTTAAGAATTATATTACAGTGTTTGGTTGATTTAAGGAATAGAAATTAAATATGTTTTAAAAGACATAAATACCCTTATAAAAATATGTGATGGTAGCGATGGTGGTGGTGGTGGTGCTGGGGTGGTAGTGGTGGTGGTGGCGGTGACAGTGGTGGGGGCGACGGTAGTGGTGGTGGGGGCGACGACGGTTGTGGCGGCGGTGGTGGTGGTGGTGGCGATGGTGCTGCTGGGTGGTGGTTCTGGTGGCGGTGGTGGTGGTGGCGGCGATGGTGGTGACGGCGGCGGCGATGGTGGTGGTGGTGGTGGTGGTGGTGATGGTGGTGGCGGTGGTGGTGCTGGGGTGGTAGTGGTGGTAATGGCGGTGGCAGTGGTGGGGGCGGCGGTGGTGGCAGGGGCGACGACGATTGTGGCGATGGTGGTGGTGGTGGTGGCGGCGACAGCGGTGACAGTGGTGAAATAGGATAAATTTATATATAGGATAAAAAAAATTAGGTTAAAGAAATGGGTAAAAAAGAAAATAGATTCTAAAATCTATTCCTGAGCGTTCAGTAATAGGCTAATACTAGGGGGGCCTAGTAATAGCTACTACCTTATTTGAGGTAATAGGCTATTACCAGGAATATTATTCCTAATAATAGAAATGGTTACCAAACAAATGAATAGGCCTATTACTGGGAATGCTATGCCATTCCCGGCCTATTTCGTGAACCAAACGGGCCATAAATGAAATAAAACCAAAGACTCAATCATAAACTCTATAATCAAAATCCTAATACAAAATATGTAAAATATTAATCTAAATGTACAAACATGAAAAAGTAGAATAATATGTTCAGGGTTTTCCAAATGGATTTGTTTGGTTTGGTTAACAAAAATTGATTCTAAACATTTATATTTAATTAATATTTTGTATACATAATAATATAATAATATCATAATAATGCTATCGCGGATATTTTTATAATTAATATTGTTCATATTTTATTAAATAGTGTGCTAGACATATTCATCACTTCTTTAAAAAAAATATGATTCACTATTAATTAATTATTCATGGATCATAATTAACTTACTTTTTTGACGAAATAATCAAAAAAAAAAAAAAGTGATGTTTAATTATTTATTACTAATTTAGTATATTACTTTTATGGGATGTATAATTTATGAAATAACGAGAATACACATGATGCAATTAGAATTATATCCTTGTTATAAACATAGACCACTAGATTTTCTTGCTAAAAGCACAATTCTTTCTTTGTTATAAACATAGACCACCAGATTGTGAAAGGAAGCACAATTTTTCCTTATTATAAACATAGACCACTAGATTTTTTTTGCTAATTTTAGGTAAAAAGTACAAATTATTAAAAAGTAACTTAGTAGGGCACAATTTATTTCACTTATGTGACAATTATTATACAAAACATGAAATTTTTATACATACTCTCTTACCTAGCTAGAGAGCTTATCTGTCCTATACCTTCTCATGGCCACCTATTTGGACTGATAACCGGAATGGCATCACATTACGACAAGAACTCATTGTTATTTAATATATAAAATGAAAGTATTTCTCTATTTAAATATCCAATGAATGGATAAGATTAAAAAAATAGATAATATGAAACAATATATCAAAACATTCCACCTTTAACCTATTTCATAACATATTTTAAAATACACGAAAATTAAATCAAAACATTGCTACTTTAATATGAGATGCTAAATCATAACACACACACACACACACACACACACATATATATATATCTGTGTGTGTGTGAAGTTGAAAGTTTATGTCTTTTTAAACTTATCATCTTATTCAACAGATATTCTTACCAAACACATTAATTTCGATCGCGCGCGCGCGCACGTGTGTGTGTGTGTCTGTCTGTGTGTGTGTGTGTGAAGTTGAAAGTTTGTCTTTTTAAACTTATCATCTTATTCAATAGATATTCTTACCAAACACATTAGTTTCGATCAATTAGCTTATTAGTTATTAACTTTCAACTTCAGCTATTAGTTTTTTAACTTTCAGCTTTCAGCTAGCTTATAACAGAAGTAATAAGATGATTGACTTTTTTAAATATCGATGTCATTAATACAAACAAATATTTGATTATAAATCAATTTTTCAAACTGAATACTTAATTATCGTTTGGAATAACTTCGTCATTACTTATCTACAATGTTGCAAAAATTGCACCTAGGCGCCGATCGGTCGGCTGCCTAGAAATTCGGCAGAATCGTCGTTCTAGGAGGTCGGCCACCTAGGCGCCAAGTAGGTCGTCGTGGACTAGACGGCCTAGGCGGGAGTTTAACTAATTTTTTTTAAAAAAAATTAAAATTAAAATTAAAAAATCAGCTCCCTAGGCGCTATGCTCTCCCCAAATGCGTAGAGGGCACCTAGCGATTTTTTCAACCTTACTTATCTATATAACCCAATTTGCAATATAAATTTTAACTTATTATTATAATTGCCCAAATTTCTAATTCTAATTAAATTCATCAAAAAGTGCAATAAATGTATTTGATATTATTTAGTTATTGTATTCATAATTTCCTCGTATAGAAATAATACAATCTTATATTGTACATCATTGCGAATTTCGTAATTAAATGGGTGGCTAATCCACTAAATATATATACTAAATTAATTAACCCCAATGAGGAGCATTTATGCGCATCCCTGTGAGGTGCAATTGCACGCAACATAAATAATGGTTTTTTTTTTTTTCTTTCTTTGAATTATTCCAAAATACGCATAAAAAAGAGGATATTTTGATTTAAAAAACCAATATTTATTTCATTGTGACAGGAAAGAGTTGACACAAAGAGATAGTCTCAAAATACTCTTTTCATTATAGAGAGTAAGGAATTATATAACAGGGCGTTTGGTTGGAGATGGGAAATTACGTGGAAAAGAAATTGCAATTTTATGGGAGATAAATTATTGGGAATAAAATGAGAATTTAAATTTCAGTGTTTGGTTTATAGGAATAGAATTACTGGGAATTTCAATTTCAATGTTTGGTATGCATTGGAATTGAAAGGGAATAAGTAGTATAAAGTCAAAAATGTCAATTGTTGTTGTTAGGCATTAATTTTATGTTAAAAAGGAATGGGTAATTTTGACTCATGTATATTTTTTTCTTCCTAAAATTTCAAGAATTAAAATACTAGGGGGGGACATGGGATTTTAATTCCATGAAAATGGGGGAATTGCAATTCCTTTCAACCAAACAATGGAATTTTGTGATCTTTGGAATTAGGTGGAAATCAAGTGGGAAGGGAATTTAAATTCCCTTCAACCAAACGCCATGTAAAATTAAAAGCCAATGACATGACTTGACATTTTATATGATTTTTAATGAGGGATTTTTCGTTATAATTTCACCACCTAACTGAGTAAATAATGTTATAGAAATAGAAAATACTGACTTCAGGGTGTGCAACTCGATCTCCTAATAGGTCAGGAGGCCAAGCTCATTCATTAAAAAAAAGGCACGTGAAGAATCTTTTCAACAATCCCGACAACTTTATCCTATTCAATGCAGACATGTGGCTCACTCGATCTGATTATCCTATTGCGAGGCGTTGCGTACCCTTTATCAGCGAGATTCCCGGCATGGGTCCCCCTACGTAGCGCTATAAATGCTAACTAATCCCTCAGGAGAGGTACCCCTTTTCGAGACCAGATCAAAATACTACGAGAGTGACCAACCAACTTAGAGGTTCCTAATCTTGGGGCTAGGGGAGTATTTCTAATGAGAACACTTCATACATTTCACGTTTTCGATGACACATGTTTATAATTATAAGTACTAGCTTTATCAAAATGTACTAATGGTTGCTCTGTTGAACAATAAGTGTTTAATTGCTTGATCACAATACTCATAATACGTCCTAACTTTTTTAAGAACATGTATAACGCCTCATGTTTATTTTATTTAGCACTGTTATAGGAGTCATTCCAATTTTAGGCCACCACTATTTGTATTGTCACATTGCGACCACTATTATTATAAGTGTTCCACTTTTGGTCCACTGTTTACATTTCCGTCTCATGGTCGTGTAGTCTAGGGGTATTTCTGTCATTCTATGGTTGAAGCTTCTCCTTTGCCCTCTTCCCATCCGAGTCCATGTTTGGCTAAGGAAATCAGACAATTTGACTAAGGACATCACAAACTCTTCTTTCAATGGATCTTTCTACGTCAAGAACTGCATTTCATCGTCGCTAACCTCGATGAAATCCGTCTCCTTCCAGATGCTCATGATGCCGCTTCTCACAGCGTCCTCCAACAGCCAGAGCAAGAGGCGGACGTTGGGATCGTACGACAGTAGAACGCCGGCAGCCTTGGCCGCCTTCATCGCCGCCATGTGCGCCGACTTGCACGGCTCCGAGATGAGGCTGATGGAGCCGTAGTGGAAGATCTTCGCCCCCTTGATGATTGCCGTGTTCAGCTCCACCTCCTTGAGCAGCATGTCGGCGCTAGGGTTCTGATAGGACATGAACTCCAGCTCGCCGTTGCTCTTCAGCGTCACAAACGCCAGCGTCGTCCGCGCCTCCTTGTCGAAGCACACGCTCTCACTATTCACGTCGTTCTTCTTCAGAATATCCACCAGCATCCGCCCGAACTCGTCGTCCCCGACCTTGTCGATGAACGCCGCCGAGCTTTGTGATAGCGCACGCCACATTTGGTTAGGATTTGCTTGGAAGAACATTGGAATCGATGCTCCGTTGCGTCAATTATGCTTGATTGAAATTCGATTTTAGGTTTAATTGTTTGATTTCCTTAGTCAAACATGGTCTCGGATGGGAAGAAATGGTAAAGGAGAAGCTTCAACCATAGAATGACGGAAATATCCATGGATTACACAGCCATGAGACGGAAATGTTAATGGTGGACTAAAAGTGGAACACTTATAATAACAGTGGTCGCAATGTGGCAAGACAAATAATAATGGACTAAAATTAAAATTACCTCTATAACAGTAGGACCAAAAATTGAATTAACTTATTTATTTATTTATATAGCTAAGAGTAATATGGGCTGTGATTGAATGGAATGGACTTATCAATCTTTAATCAAAGGTCAAGTGTTTGATTTTTAGCTTTGGGGCTAATAGTAGCCTTAAATCTCCTCTGGTTGTCTCACCCATTCAAGTACCCTGCACAATAAGGAACATGCTATTCGCTTTGTAACATCTGGTTTAGTATTAATCTTTTTAAAACACCTAATTTAGTTTTCTTTTCTTTGTACACTATTTAAAGAATTTGTATAATTTTATACTCTCAACCAACAAATTAATGATCTTTAATTCTTCACTCTTATAATGGTAAGGGTGGGTGTAATTCTCCATTAGATGGCATCATCTTTGGTTTAGAAATGACTTAATTTCATTACTTTCGAGGTTTCATGGTCAAACCGTTACTTCTTTACTGACACGATTAGCTTACCTATTTCAGATTCATGTGATTTTGTGTAGTGCGGTCTGAATTGAATCTGGATTGTCGTTACTTTTCTACCGACATGATTGCGGTTACCTATTTTAAATTTTACAAAAATGCCCTTGATAGTTTCCAATTCATTACTCTTCATATATTGTATGGTATGGATTAACGAGTGTTAATTGCATAGGGAATTCGTGATTGAAAGTTGGAGAATGGTGCATTGATAGATGGGCACATTGTAAGGAATGAAATGTGAAGGATTGATGCTCAAAAAACGAGGAGGAGAAAAAATCCAAAGGGAAGTGAATAAGGAGCACGTGAATCGATGGTCTAATCTATTCCTTCTACGCAGATTCTCTCTACTTTATTATGGATTAGTAAATGGGCCTATAATTTCTGGGGCCCTCCACCATCTACCACTTGCTGCACTGATTCTGGCGATTTATGGGGAAATTGACCTGTTTTTAAGAAACACATTTGAGAGATGGGTTTTTGATAAGAGATGTAAATTCTAAATATGTTTTGCCTATTTTTGTACAATTGTTTTGAGTAATATTGATTTTATTATAATGTAATATCTTTTCATACATACTTTCTTAATTTACTAAAATATAAAGAGTCAATACCCCTAGACCTTTTATTTAGAAGGCTACAATTATATCGCTCAACTACACCATAATGCTTTTGACACTTATTTTTGTACATAGTTTAGAATTTTTATATTATTATCAACACTACTGAAAATATGCCCATTTCAGTCCACTTTTCCTGATTCTGCAGGTGGGGGTACCTTTGTACGCCGTACCTCCTGCCATTTCTTACTATTTTTTATTTTTAAAAAAGTACACTTTCAATTTATGAATAATTGTGATTATATTCAAATCAAACCACACACTTTAACAATTGAATTAAAATTAGAATCGTAAGAATGATTTTAATTATAATTTAGAATCGAAATTCAAAATATATAAAAATTAAATTATAAATAACTTTAGTCAATCCTAATAAACTGAATTAGACATAGAGAATTAAATGGAGGGAGTAATTTTATTCTTTTTTTGTGTGTTAATTCCTTTATTACTCTTTAATTTAAGGAAGCGCAATTTTTTTTAAACATTTTTTTTTACTATAGTTATATTTTTATCTTAAGATGTGTTTGAAAAGCAGAAAAACGACTTCTGAAAAATGAGTTATTTTTCATAAAACATTTTCTTTTTTCGGTGTTTGGTTGTATTCCAGAAAACTATCTTGGTGTATTTGGTTTATTTTCTGAAAAATGAGCATAATTATTTTTAATTTTAAATATTTAAAATATACAATGATGGTAGTGGTGGTGGCGACGATGGGGAATTAGCTGCTCCACTGCAGCAAACGAAAAATGACTTCTAAAAGAAAAGGAATTCATTTTTCAGAAAAATCTCCTCTATTTTTCATTGACCACACCCTTATTTTTTATTGATTTTCATTTCCCCCTCTAATCAAATACGAAAAATTCATAAATTAACTTTCATAAATCATTTGTTGGGTTTCCAAAAGTACCCTGAGGAGAATTCATATGAGCACAAGCCCACATTCGTATAGGTGAATGAAGCCCAACTAAAAAACCTGTAAGCGAGGCCCAAAAGCTTCAAGCTGTAAAGTCCATTTGACAGAGTTTCACTGTGTATCAGTATGCGATCTTCTGGGGAGCGACCAACGGGGCAGTGATTGTTCTAAGCGGTTTCGATTGCAGAGAAAGAGGAGAAGAGGGCGATTGGAGAATGGCGAGCACGGTGGATGCCGGAGGAATTCCGATCCCTACATCGTCGGTGCTGATGGCGGCGTCGAAACACATCGAAACTCGGTGCCGGAGCGAGAATGTGGCGTTCCTCAAGTGTAAGAAAGACGATCCTAACCCCGAGAAATGCCTCGACAAAGGCCACCAAGTTACACGTTGTGTTCTCGGCCTGTAAGCCCCCTCAACTAGTTTCATCAAATGTTTATCTGCGATATCTGCCGTTTTCGTTTTTGTTCTTTTTCTAACATTTTTTTTTAGCTGAATTAGTGGAATTTATGCCAGAATAGAATGCACAATTAAGAATTTTGAATTCTGGATTGGGTAGAAGGTTAAATCTTTAACATGCTTCATTACTTTTAGCTCACTTTGGTTCCGTCCTTGTTTTTCTGGATTTTTACCAATAGCAAACTGTAAAGTTCATATATCCAGCAATGTATATAAATTTGTATGGCCATTCAACTATTGTGTTGAAATGATAGAGGAAAACTTCTTTTTTTTTTTTGAAGTTTGAGGATTGATGCATGGCATAACTAGGTATTATTTGATATTCTGTTATTGATTTGTTTCACTTTATTCTCATTGCCTAGAACTTGCACAATGATAGATTATATCACTGTTATGAAATCTCGTGTCAAATTCAATTGTCTCATTGTGACTAGCACAGGGCTGAACTTATTTATGTGGGGTTTGCCTCCCTTGCTGGCTTTATCCACAAATTTATTTCAGAGAAATTGCACTTTAATTTCATCCTAATGGAATGCTAAAATGCACTTATTTATAGACATAAATACTTAAGGTTTTGATTTTATTGGAATGTTATTTTGATTCTGTTTTAGATAGGAAGGGAACATGATGATGGGATGTCTTTTGGCAGGTTAACATTGCCAAAAATGCAGTGATTTTGTAATGGTCTAATGGTCATCTTTGCGTTTACGAGGTTGAGTGAAATGCAATTCCATCTTTCAGCTGAGTGTGATGTGCTCAAATATACTTATATATACATCACATCCTGATTGACCAGCTTGAGTGAATTGCAATTCCATAAAGTGGTTGAACATGATGCTCCCTAGTATTTATATACATGCACCAATTGATGATTTAGCTGTTATCACTCTTGATTAAACTATTTTAAAGCATGGTTTGGTGTAGGAGTAGCATTGCATATTTGCATGTGTTTATCCTAGGCAAAAGAACCCGATTTGAATCAATCCCCACTGCCCATCTCTTACAATCAAGAAAGCATTTCCTTGTTGACTTTATTTTCCCAAGTATCAATAGAAGGTTAATGTAACTTACATTAATATGTTTATAATTCTTGTAGGCTCAAAGATCTTCATCAAAGGTGCACCAAAGAAATGGATGCTTATGCAGGGTGCATGCACTACCACACAAATGAATTTGAGTTTTGCCGCAAAGAGCAAAAGGAATTTGAAAAGACATGTTCTTTCTGATTTCATGGCAAATAATCTTCCTAATCATATGATCACAATAATCTCGACAAGTTTGTAACAAGTCGATGCATCTTGATTAAACACATTTCAAGTGATTTTATATCTTTGTATTGCATATGTAAGACATTGATCCTGGTAAAATTCCTTCCATTGAACCTGCCTTTGCAGCATAAAAATGTTCACTTGTTTTGAGTATAATATGACCAGATATTTTCATCATGCCACAAGGCCATTATTGTATTCTGAATCCTGTGGTTAATACTTCCTAGTCTAATCCATTTTTCGTGAAAATGTGTTACATGACACACACTCGACAGGAATATAGTCCTTCAATGCTTTTTGTTCGATAACAAGTAATAGCCAGTTTATTGCATAGTTATCACATCAATGATCATCATCCTCGAAGGGCAATTTCCCAGCTGGTTCTAAGTCTGTGAACAGCCATCAATCCCATAAGAATTATCTAACCTATAAGAGCTGATATATAACTTGTCAATTCAAAAATAATTCTCATTGCAGCATGATTCCCTCCAAGAGTGGTATTCTGTTGAAGCTCAAGCTAATGGTACAACATCTTTAACCCCATAATTCTACTCCATCGTTCTCAGGCAGCGGGGGCGTATTCCTGGATGATTGCCGCCAATTTATCTCGGTCCTTTACAGATTTAAGTCTTATCAAGCACGTTTGCGCTACAACAGCACTGCTGTTCTCTCCATCCTACAAAATATACCATCAAGCCGCAAAGATTAATGCTTGGAAAATCAGTGCGACGAATCAATCCAACTTCGTATGGGAATAGGATGTATTACCGAAGTGTGGAATATTGCAACAATAGAGTTCTTTTGCATGTTTGTTTTGATGCCTGGATATAGTAATGCATTAAGCACCACCCTGCCAACCTGCAAGCGAGAACCATAGAGTACTCAGGTGGGCAGTGAACTAGTAAATCAAAGAAAGGGTGTAAGTAATTGAACTTAAGAAGTGTAATATATCAAGGAAACTGGAAACCTACATCATTTCGTATGAGAATAGTTGGTTTGGATTCTCGGGCACCCTTGCTAACACCTTCTTTGCATTTAATAGATAATTGACCTGTGCCTCTATCTTTCCATGCATCTTTGTCTGTTGGATCGCTAGACTGGAAACAGACAGAAATAGTGAGAAAAAAGCCTCCAATAAGATATAAGCTTGCATAGACCATCAACCCAAAAGTAACTATGCTTGCGGAGATGGATTAGAGACAACATATAAAATAAACCCAATACTAATGCATGTAATGACATGTGTCAAAATCACATCAGCACAATCTCTCAGATCAAGATAGATAGGTATTCCAAATGAGAGTTACGAAACTTTGTATTGTGTCCATGCTTAGTGCATAAAATGTGATGCGGTCCCTATTTTGATACATGTATAATGAACACTAATCAGATGAGTAATGATAATAAATGCTAAATTGCTAATACAAAGATCACCTTAACATAAAGTTTGCATTTGACTTGGTGGACAACAGTGACTCCCTTCTCTTCAGTCTTCTTCACAGATGGACTGCTAGGCTGCTCAACATCTTCCTCTATAATAGCGCAATTTAATGCCATCAGACTAGGAGAGTAAACAAAAGATAAAAATGCAAGAGAATGGAGGTATATGATGATTTGATAATGTTAATATAATGGAAAATAGATTATGAAGTATGGTTGAGAGGAAATAAAAAGCTGATATTGATAGGAAAAAGATACATTCATTTTCTTACCACCATCTGCATCATTTGAAGTGTCGTTATTTGTTGCGACTGCATTTTGAGGTTGCAGAAATGAACTCTGAAGTCCTGGGAGAGAAGTAGTTGAAGCATAAAGAAGTCAGGAATCAAGGTTGGAAACAATGCAAGATTGTTTCTCAGCTCAAACCCACTGCCTAACAAGGGCAATTGCTAAGCATTTTTTGTAGCAACAAGTGCAGGTACAGTACAATATCAATCTTGATTTATCAAACCACAAGAAAGTAAATATCTGGGTAAGAAACACATTATGAAAATGAAACTAGAATCTTATGTTAACCAGGTAGAACTCTTAATGTGTTAACTTCAAAGTCAATAATGTTCTGAAATAGTAACAAACAAGGAAAATACCCACCAAATGAAAATGGAGCTTTGTTGTTAAAGAGTGGTCCAGAGTTCCAGGAAGTTCCAAAGCTTGAAGATGCATTAGGCGCAGGAGTAGGAGGTTTATCCAGAGATAATGTACTGTTGTTTTCTTTATTTTCAGACACAAGTGTCTTTGGAGCCGGAGCTTGAAATCTCAACAAGGACGTACTCTTGTTTTCTTTATTTTCAGAGGCAAGTGTCTTTAGAGCAGGCTGAAATCCCATGAAGGTCGTACTCTTTCCTTGGGCAGCATTTGCTTTCAGCCAGTTTACAACATCACTAAATTTTTCCTGCAATAGACTACCTTTGCTTTAAAAAAGCCCAGAAATTGTGATACCTTGAAGCATATATTTTTGGAATTAAAGCAGCGCATCTATAGTGAATCTAACATTACACTAACCATGCCCCCCCTCCCCAAAACAGAAAGAAAAAGAAAAAACTGATATTCCTAAAAGGTGAAAGCACTAAAGAATATACTAAGTAATACATGAAAATATCACAAAACAGGTGCAAACTCACCATGATGGATGCAGCATGGCTTAAATAGTCTTGGGCTCCATCTTCCCAAAGTTCATCAGGGTAGTTCTGTAATTGTGTTTGCACCCAGCTGCTTAGAACAACAAAGAAGCAAGATACATAAATTCATTGAGGATAGTATAGAAAGGAAAAAGCTTTTTGCCTCTTACGCTAGCAATGTGCTAATAGGAAAGAGAATATGTAACACTAGCCATATCTATTTATTTGTTAACCTTTCCTCAAACTCTAATTCTTATTTGCAGATTTCACAAACATACTTAAAAGAGGAACACTAGTTTACAAGACAAAACATGAGATGGGGGAAACAATAATTCTATTCAGCTAAAATTTAGAGGCAAAAATTGTGCTGAGAAAAAGGAAAAAAAAAAAAAAAAGAGTAATTGATATGACTTATGAGCTGAAAATGCTGTTGAACTAGACCTCGCAAACTGAGTATTGAGAGCCCTCACATGCTGTCTAGATGATTCAGCCCGTTGCATGTCCAACTGTGGAGTTGGCACTGACAGCTGCTGGGATGGTTCTGCCCTTTGAGAATCAAAAGGTGAGGCTGCCAGTATTCTTTTGTTCTGGTTCTGCACAGGAATTGGGAAATAAGGAAACCAATTGAAGAACAAAGTATCTCCTATCCACACAAGAGGTACACTATTTTCATAAAAATTACAACTTTAAGATTAAAAACTTCTTGGCATAGTTAAGAGCATTACAAACACAACTAACATCCTAGACACATTATCAATATCTTATGAAATTAATTGTATTAATTATTGCAATGAACTGCCCTGAAAACTACAAGTCGACTAGGAGCTTGCTTCTAGCCAAAATCATTCAAATTACAAAGTGATGCGTGAAGATACAAATAGGAACTTCATTAATGGCTTGCACAAAAGCTCAAAACTAAATCAGAAATTCAGCTCTAGCTGAACACCAACAAAATCCCCTGCCTTTTTCAAGCTCTTAGCGTACTTAGATGCACATAAGCAATTCAGCATATTACATTCTACCAATCCAGCTAACTCTCCCTCTCCCTCATTCGCATCGATTGATATGAGAAAAACAACAAATTCAAATGGAAGAACGCAAAGATGCAGGGAATCGAACTGACTGAGTCGGTGGTGAACACGCTGGACTCGGCCGCGGCGAATCGCTTCGTTCCTCTCATGGTTTGGGAATTGAAATTTCACAGAGATAGAAATCTAAGGTGCTTAGAAAAAAGCTTTGAGCTTTGATTAGGGCTTTTATGGTTCAGTGTAATTTAATATTACTCTCTGTACATAATAATAAACAAATAAGGAGGGAGGATGAAGACGAAGGTGTAGGTGGAGCAGAAGTTTTACTTCTGTGGACTGTGGGTGGTGAAATCTTGGCCCGCTAATTTCAGGTAGGGTCAGATGCTTTGAATTAGGGTCGTTGGATTGGATGAAGATAATCTTTTTTTTTTTTTAATCTCCTCTATATTTCATTTTGGTCCAGCAATTGTTTATCAATAGTTAATGTAATCACTAGTTTTTAATTTTAACCAATTTGATAATCAAATTGTTTAAAATTTTATTATTTTGGTCAATTTGATCCCTAAAATGATTTTTTTTTTTGAAAGCCAACAACGTTGGTATATATTAATGAATGAACGAAACAATAGAGTCAGAATGGATAGCATCCTAATACAAAGACTGTTCCTGACTGAAAGCTAACAACGCTAGTGTATGAGCATGTAAATTAACTGATCAAGAAACAACGCTTAATGAGCAATAACTGAACGAGGATAAAATCGTCCAGCACTGATCCACAACCATCCCAACATAAGACAAGATAGTCGTACGACCTGCAAGGAACTACGTAACTCTAGGCAATCTGTGAGGAGATCCACATTTAACTCGTTCCGTGTCATGAGCCAAGATAGAGCCTCTTTGTATGTCAGTGCCTCTGCCATAAGGAGTGAGAAGTAACCGGGGAGTTTGCCATTTGTTGCCGCCTTGAACGAGCCGTCCGGATTGAGGAGTACCACGCCATAAGTTGCGTCGCCGGTAGCCGGTCGGTATCTGACATCCACATAGCACCGCGATCGGGTCCAAGGCGTTGCTGCTGCTGCTTCTGATGCGTCCAACTGCTGCCGAGGAGTGCAGTACGTGATGAGCTCGACCGTATGCTTGAAGAGTAGCAGCCGCCCTTCTCCATACTGCTTCCGGGCGTGCCAACATGCCATCCCATAGGGCTCCATTCTGGGCGTTCCAAAGGTGGTAAAGTACTGCCACCGCCAATTTGATCCCTAAAATGATTTAATTGATGAAACTTTAAACAATTCTATAATCAAATTAATTGAAATTGAAAACTAAGAATTACATTGACAGTTGAAAAACAATTGAGAGACCAAAATGTTTATTTTCCCACTTGAAATATTTTCCAACTCTCTTTCTACTTACATAATTGAAAAAATAATACTTAAATCTACTCCGTCGTGGCCTTTTTATTCTCCAAACACAATTTTTTTTTTTTTTTATGTAGACATACAGAAAATAAGAAATACAAAAAATGTACAGCTTAAAACTTCTGTTATTGACTGTATTACAATGTAGTATGAGGCCACAATTATGCCGCTCCACCCACTAAATTAAGATAAAGATTACAACCTACTCTACATAATAATTAAGGTAAAGATTGTATTGAATTGAATAGTATTATACACGGTGGTGAAGTCAAATAGAATAACTCCATAGTGAGACTTCTACTACGTCGTCACTCCCAAGTTGGTCAGCTTGATCCCAAGTGGTGAAAGCATTAATATTCCCCAGTTGCATGCATGCCGGCGAGTACAGCACCGCCTCCGCCATCTTTTCAATCATTCCGTCCACGCCCATCTCCTCCTCGTCGATGTTAGAAACGTCTATTCTCATCAATTTGCTTTCCACTTCCTCCTCCACTACTTTCGCTACTGCCGTCGTCGTCGTCGTCTCCCTGAAGCCCTCGGCGGCCATCACCGCCGCTCTCCGGATATCCTTAGCGTCCTTGGACACCGGCACCGGCAGGCGCCACACGGAATCAGCGAAGTTGAGCGTTGCAAACTGGCCTCTGAGCGCCAATGCCGCCACGTCGTGAGCTCGCGCCGCCATTTCCGGAGTAGGGTAACTTCCCACCCATATCCTCTTCTGGTTGATCGGCTCCCGGAGCTCGCAAACCCATTTCCCGTTCCCCCTCCGCCGCACTCCCCTGTACACCGGGTGCCGAGTCTCCTTGAACTTCTTCCTCCCCGCCGGCCTCTTGGGTTTCCTCGCCAAAACATCCTCGTCGGAATGCGCAGCCATGCAGTTGGAAGAAGAACATGATCCTCCGGATACTGAAGAGGTCGCCGGCGGCAGTTGACCACTTTCCCTGAATCTAAATCCCACCGACGAACATGCTGATTCATTCATATTAGTACGTTCACAGATATCAATTATTATCTATCAGAGCAACGTAAAATAATAGCGTTAGTTTATCCGAGAGTGAGTGTGGAATTGTGGATAGGTGGTATTACAGATATATAGATTATGCTACGTGGAAAAACATCATTGAACTGATTATGCACGTGGCTACGACATAGACACGCACTACCGGTGGGACAGTCTATCCGAGTATGTATTCATTAAAAAACATTGGAAAAGTTCATATTTTCAGTCAAATGTGGGGACTGATGACTTTGAGCCAAAAAGAGGTTGGTTGGAGGCTGCGCAATGCACACAGCACACGGGTAATACGCAGAATCTACTGTACGGTACTGTTAAACATCAGATCAGAGATTCAGAGGTATTGTTGTATGTCATCCGGGAATTCTTCGTTCTATGAAACGTTACGACATTTTCACACCTCAATTTTGGAACAAACAATAATATGTTAAATGTATGTAGACTTATATTGTATACGACACACAGTACAAATATTATGCATGGACTCGTTCCATATCGCACAGCGTTGAGCATATTAATAAATTTTTCACTTAGCAATAGTAAGTGGTGTCTTAGTTTGTCAGTTTACCATTCGATCAACGAATAAGTTTGTGCGCGCTTTAGTAAGGGCAATTCGTTCTCAAACTGATTCTACTGTTTGGTTATCTTCTATTCATGATTGTATTGCGCATCTTTATTAATGAGTAAATATCCAAAATGGTCCCCCGACTATAGCTAAATTCACAAATTGGTCATCAACTTTCAATTTCAACCAATTAAGTCCTTAACTTTGCAATTTTGACACGATTTGGTCCTCCATCTATTTGACCGTTTGTTGACCGTGATCGACGATCTCCAGAAGAACCTTCAGCTCTCGTCGGAGCACGTGGAGGCCTGCAGGATGACGTTGTACCGGTTCGGAAACACGTTGTCTTCTTCGCTCTGGTACGAACTCAACTATATTGAATCCAAAGGGAGGATGAAGAATGACGACCGGATTTGGTAGATTGCTTTCGGCAGTGGACTTGAATGTAACAGTGCGGTCTGGAAATGCAACTAGAACCTTAAAAAATCGATGATGGACCATGAAATTACATATATATCCTCAAAAATCACAGTCAACAAACGGTCAAATAGACAGAGGACCAGATTGTGTTAAAATTACAAAGTTAAGGACTTAATTGGTTGAAATTGAAAATTGAGGACCAATTTGTGAATTTAGCTATAGTCGATGGACCATTTTGAGTATTTACTCTTTATTAATAAAAGTTGTTATTTCCTTTTCTTTTTTTTTTTAAATAATTACTATACATACCATTTTATACCATGTATGGTTATAATTAATTAGCGCACAAAACATATAGTATTTGAATAAATATAATAGTGACATTTCACATGCCTTAAGGGAGTTCTCTTCTCTGTTTCAAAATTAATGTTTACACAAAACACATGTAAACTAACATACCACATTATACTGGATATATGCATGCTGCATGCATTACATATATAAAACATAATTAATTATATTAATCTCCAGTGCAAGCATTCCTTACTATATATGTCGTCTAATCATAACGTGTCGCAATAATATAATGTATGCCATAACTTATAATAATATATATTCGTCTTCTCTAAACAATGTATTATTATATTGCTGACATTTTTAAACCACTTTCTCTGATCTGAAACCAAATCCACGACGGCGGCCGTTCATTCTGATCCGACGTGGAACATACTGATTCGTTCACACAGATATCAGAGCAACGTGAACTAACGTTTATCCGAGAGTGAGTACTATACAGTGTATTACAGATTTTGGGTAAGGATGAATTATTTATATGAACTAAATAAATCATATTAGTTCACAAATCCACGTGGCTACGACATAAACGCGCACTACGGGTGGGTGTGGACGTGGGGTCCACCCGAGTATTCATTAGAAAAGTTCTCATTTTTTTAACAACTTATCACTGCCTTCTGTTGACCACAATACTCACTAATTAACCAACTTTGTCTGCACATGTAACTATGGACCATGCTTGTGTAAACACATTTATACCACGAAAATTGTACATTGAATAATGCGACTAAATCTCAACTTACATCTCATCATAATCATAATTTTATTAATACTAAATCAAAACATGTTACGTGTCAAAACATTCTTATTACGTGTCGTGATTTCTTTTTTATTATTTAAAAATATGCATATGAAAATTACACAAGAAATTAAAGGTAAATCTTCTACAACGAGCTCGGCTGAGAAATGATTGGTAAGAATATAACCAAACATGTGATTTTTCAAGTTCGAGTATTATGCTACACTCACTCGTCTATTCCTTTAAGAACTACGTGACTTAATAAATAAATAAAAGTGTGTCACTCTTATAATATGGCATCATATGTGCACATAGTACAAAACATAGTAGAAGCCTAGGAGTACAATTATTAAAATTTATGTCACGTGTCATAATTTTATTGATAAAAGAGAAAAATAAATAAAATCATATTGTCTACTTCTCCCCCCCCCCCCCAAATAGATCAGAACATGTCACATATGTTTATTGATAGAAGATTAACAAATGAATAAAATCAACGCCACTCTCTCATTTTTTATTTTTTCCATTTGAATTATAACATGTCACGTATATAGACGATAGTACAAATTAAATAGAATAGAAATTGAGAACACAAGTAGTCAGTAGTATTATCGTTGATAGAAATTAGTGATGTGGTAGTACAGCATGAATTTTCGCAATCGAGTGTGGGAACTGAGGATTTTACAAGGCGTTTGGTTGGAAGGCTGGAAATCATGAAGAAATGAATTATAATTCGGTGAAATTGAAGGTGAGAATAAAGTATAAATTCAAAGTACATTGTTTGATAGATAGAAATAGAAGTACGGGGTATTGAAAATGAATAAGTGATATAAAGACTAAAATACCCTTGTATAATAATAATAATAATAATAATTTGCTTGAAGAGCAAATATGTCAACACAGTACATTTTCTTCTTCCATTTTCCATGGAATTGGAATTCATATGGAGGAGTACATGAATATCAATTCGATTAACAAAAGGAGAGAATGGTAATTTTTCAATTAAACAATATAATTTGACAGCATGACAGGTCAAAAAATTATTGCATTGTGAAAAAATTGTAATTACAGTGTATCAAACCCCAGGATGCATGGTTGAAAATATGAGTTAATTCCAGCAATGGTCCTCCGACTATATTGATTTTCCAAAATTAGTCCTTGACTTTTAATTTGGACACTTTAGGTCCCTTGACTTTCAATTTCTTTCCGATTGAGGTCCTTTCGTCAGAATACGGTTAATTGAATTTTAAATGAAGGGGTAAATTCATCATTTCACCTGCCTATGTATTATTCTTAGTATTTCTCCATTATATACGCGATATATATGAAGATAATCTTAGTCGAAACCCTAAAATGTTCCTCGTCGTTCCCCATTTGCTGACTACTCGTGTGTGCGTTCCTCTATTATTGAGATATTTACAAGGTATAACAGCGAAATACGAAGGGAGAAATACAAAGAATAATGCATAGGCAGGCGAAAGGACAAGTTTACCCCTTCATTTAAAATCTAATGAATCGTATTCTAACGAAAGGACCTCAATTGGAAAGAAATTGAAAATTAAGGGACCTAAAGTGTCCAAATTAAAAGTCAGGGACTAATTTTGAAAAATCACTATAGTCGGAGGACCATTGCTGGAATTAACTCTTCAAAATATTTAAGGCAAAAAAGGTTTGGTAGGAGGCTGCGCAATGAACACAGTACACGTGTAATACGGAGAATGTTACCGAGGTAATGCTGGGGAATTCTTCTACAAAACGTAACGCCATTTTCACACGTCAATTTCGAACAGACAAATTAAATATGTTTGTCGAAATTACTTATAGTGTCTACTACACACGGATACTACATATAGTATGACTCGTTCCATATATATCGCACGTTGCAATGTTTTGGCGTAATATAATTGCAAGTTTAATCATTTCCTTATGTACATGATTTAGGTAGAAAATTTAACAGTCTATCACCACTAATTGACTAAAGTTTGATCCTATAATCACTTATTTAAAATGGTAACAAATGTATCATCACACTATATAGTAATTAATAAAGAAGTTTGTTGGATAAAACATAAAAAAGAGTGATGCATATCGAAGAAAAATAAAAAAGAATGAGGAAACATAGTTTGCAACTTTGATTTCTTAGAGCATATATATATTTTAGGATAAATTTCATAAAAAAAAATTAATTTTTTAAGCGATTCATCACAATAAAAAATTATTAAAAAAAATAAATGTTATCAAACTTGATTCATAATAAAAATCTTAGAATAGCCATTCACATAAATATTTTTTAAACATAATGATGACACCTTAACTCACAACTACTTAGTTCCGAAGCGTCTAACTCAAAACCAAAGTATATTACTATGTTTTTTGGAGGATAATTAAGTATGACATTATTTTATTAATTAATTATAACTAACACATTATAACAATTTTTTTTTTTATTATTGAAATATTACCATTGAGTGATGGAGAAAGGACCACATAAGACTTATGGTTTTTAACTTTTCACATACAATTGAATGCGTTTTTTTTGTGCAACAGAAAAAAAAAATGCATATTCAATTGTATGTGATAAGTTGAAAAGTATTTATTATTGTTATATTCGTATGAATTTGTTACCATTAAGTGATGGAGAAAAGACCACATAAACTTTATGGTTTTCAACTTTTCACATACAACTGAATACGCTATATATTAGGATTATAGGATATTGTTCGTAAATAAAAGGTTTGGACTTTGGAGGGTGACTATGTCGACGTTATGGATGATGATAGTAACAGATAGATGGACGCTTTAGACAGTCAAAGATATAAGGGCCCACACTCTACAGACAGTAAAAAAACAGAAAACAAAAAACAAAAGGATGTCCCAATAAAGATTATAAAATAACTTTACCACTTTTGAAAATCTGAATAATTGTTTTCTGTCTCCAATCCCGACCGACTTCCTCACCTACTCCATCAACATCTTTTGACTCTTTCTATCATCGTCATCAAACTTGCAAACTACTTACTTTTGAAGCTTTTAAGTAATTTTTTGAATTTTAATATTTTAGAATTAATTAAACACTCATATTAATTATTGATTAATTAAATCAAATAATTAATAGTGGTAAAATAAGTTAAAATTAATTAATAGGTTAATTATTTTACCAAACATGACCTATATGTTACTGTAACATATCACGTGCTAAAAGTTTGAACTTAAGTTATTTGGGTGAGGGACATACAACCCTCAATGTGTACATAGATAATTTTGCAATTGTTCAATTAAGATTACATTATGCTTATCACAATTAATGAAAGAATTCCGTCTCGGTTGACAGAGCCATAAACCTTAAAATATTGTGTCAAAAATAAGAGGAAAATATTGTGAAATGCCTAATAAAAACACCGGAAATCAAGAAAAAAATGTACCGTGCAAAAACCTTGAAAAAGGTAGGAAAAAATTCAGTATAGACAGATACTATGCTTCAATAATATGTATAGACAGATACTATGCTTCAATTCATATCGATTTTCAATTGTTTGTAAGTTTCACTAATATAATATTATTGTCTGTGTTTCTCATTTGTTGACTAAAAATGATAATTCTTTGACTTCATACTCCAGCTTTTTACACATTTTAATTATGTTTCAAGTTTACTTCTATCAAACCATCGTGATTAACAAGTTAATTAATTTATATTTCTTTATACATTATTCCATGTTATACTGGCACAAATGCACAATCTTCCAATTCATACACGTCCATATTAATTCCATTACAATGGCGCAGCACCTACCATACATCTATATAAAGAATTTGGTATTCAGTATTCACGTTACTATGAGACTAATAATTCAAATTCTGCCCGGACCACACCTATAATTTGAAATCTAGCTTACGGTTATATTAACATTTCGTTTACTATTTATTCCATGTTGTTGGTGCCATATTCGTCACATTCATCATATCGGGAGGCTAATATGTGCGCGACTGAATGACATCCAAATTTCAAGGTCTTCAGCTTGGATTACATGTTTCAATTCTAAGGAGCTCTGATCTTCATATATGGTCATTGTTATATCGCGAATTGATCAGGCTTTATGATTTAAAAAAAAAAAAATTATTCTTCAAATATGATCAAACCTTGGAAGGCTCCAGCAATATTATGTATGTGCAAATGAAATCATTTAATTATATTATTAGATGTTAGTGTTTTTGTGAAGTTGTCCTTCCAAGCTAGCCTACCCACTTGTTGTATATGTCTGTTGGTATGTATTGTCAGTTGTATTAACTAACCATGTTTTATTTTAAATTCCAATATGTGTCAGCCTGTCATATAAACGTACGTTCTGGGGGCCAATATGTAACCAAACCATTAAGACCATGAAAAGTAAAAGCTAGGAAACCCAAAAAGGTAATCATCTTACCATCTTATCTTATTACCTTAGCTTCTTACAACTCTTAATACAAATTAAAAAAAAAAAAAAAAACATTAAGTCATACATAATTTGATTCAATCTTCATTAACTAAATCAAACACGTGCATGCAATTCCGTCCATGCTGGCAAACGGGAACGTTCCTTGTTGTATTATTTTCTTAATAATATAATGGAATATTGCATGAGATCAGATGTCATGCATGGAATAGATTTTAGGTTAGTTTAATAGCTCCATAGATGACTTTCAGCGTCGGAATTCCAGCTGGGAGAATCATCGGACGACACGGGGTTTATTCTCGGTGGACTCACCATCATTCCTCCCGCCATGTCCACCAGCAAATTAGGCATATCGAATAACGCTTCTTCATCGATGTATTCGCCGGCGGGAGGGGGCTGGGCGTCGTTTCTTAGTTGACGACTAGAGGCGGTGCCGGCGGGCTGATCACCACTACTTTGCACCTGAAACATGGCGGCTCCGCTGGTGGCAGCGCTTCTGATATCCGCCGGCGAGGAGGTGGCGGGTACCGGATAGCGAGACGCGTGGGCGGGGAAGTTCAGTACGGCTTCGCTTCCCCTTAGTGCGAGGGCAGCCACGTCGTATGCCGCCGCAGCCATCTCCGGCGTGGGGTAAGTCCCCAGCCATATTCGGGTCGTCTTTCTGGGCTCGCGTATCTCCGAGACCCACTTGCCGCCCCGACTCCGTATCCCGCGATACATTATTGGGTGTTTCCCGGCTGAGGTGGCGCGGCTGGGGGATGGAACGGAGTCAGCTGCAGGGTGGTGTAGTGATTGTGAATAACGGTCAGCCATGAAGATAATGCCAATCTATTTAAATATATATATGTTTTGTGTGTATATAAATATATATAGAACGGAGGGTTTATTATATATTTATATTGGAGGCTGGGGCCTGGGGGAATGAATTGAATGGATAAAGAAATTAAGTATGGTATACGTAAAACCGTGGGCAAGCCGCGGAGGATACGATCATGAATATTTAATATATATTGGGAAGAATGAATATATATATATATATATATATATATATATATCATCATATTTAAACTTATAGTCGGTACTGTGGGGATAATACAATTAAAAGACATTATGTTTGTATTGTATTGGTACAATAAGTTGAGTTGTAAATTACTCTGTATATATATTAAAGAGATCAAATTGAATTTTTTTTTGGCTTAAAAAGATTACAGCTTAATCTTGAGGGTAGGTGAAGAAGGTAAATGGTTTATAAAATTTTTAAAGTACTTGAATATTAGTGGTTTAGGTGAATTCTAGGGGATAATAAAGCTAATTAAACTAATGACTTCTTTAGATTAATAAATTAGTAGAGTTGTGTCTTGAGTATAGATTTTTTTTTTTTTTTTTGGTTGAATATATTAAAGGTGGATCGATCATTTAAAAACTATATATATTATTCGATATTAAGGTTTAGGTTTGTTTATTGTGCATGGGTTGGGAACAGGGGTTTTCCATGCCATATATACACCTCGTGGCCATGCAATACGACGTTGTCATCAACTGAAAGTGACAGAAATGGCTTAAACATATCTTTACATCTTAAGAATTCCTTGTACTATATAGCTGCGCAGTTATCTGCTGCATGTGTGTCCAACATATATATATATATATATATATTTATATATATATATATATATATATATGGTTGAGTTCACATGAGAACCACAATATATTTATATATAGGATTGTACGGATTACGGGCACACAACTAATTAATATCATGAACACAATTTAACACACAATAATACATGTAAACATCAAGTTTCGAACCCAGACTCTATTAATTAACAAACCTTTGTCACACGATATACAAACTATGACACACTACTACACTAGTCTGCACAGTCCTTTATAATATAGTGATCCTCATTTGAACTCAACTCTCTCTCTCTCTCTCTCTCTCTCTCTCTCTCTCTCTATATATATATATATATATATATATATATATATATATATGAAAATCATGTCTGATCTTAGGTAAGAATTGGCTGAATTGCATGAGTCCACAGAATCTATTAAATAAATGCACACACAACTACTCCAAAGTTGTCATCTAAGTGTATTTGGGAGTAAATTGTGTGCATTAATATAATAGATTTTGTGCACTCATACACCGTACTAGTTCAATGTACAGGTTCTCACATATGAACGCGAGCTTATATATGTGTGTGTATTTTTTGATTTAGAAGAAAACTTGTAATTTTTACCCAAAGTTATACTCTGGATGAAATTCGTCTTGTGATCTTAGACAACAAATGACTATAATAGAGATAAACCATCTAGTCTAAATTACTCATAGCACCAACTCAAATCAAGAAGACAAATAAACAATTCCCACTGCACGAGAGATAAATTTAGGGCCTTGTGAAGTTGTGTATATTTATATAGTGTAAGATTATTTAATTTGCTATAACACTCTTAATCACAACCACACATAATTGAATGAGATGTGATAAGACCGATAATGATTTATATTGATGGTTTTAATGAAGATCCGTTTGAATTATTAATGGGTGGGATGGGATTTGTACTGTTGATACAAAATGGTAGGGGTACTATTACAAGAAAGCTACCGTTAACGTTGTTTTGTTGTTAACTTTTGTTGATTATATGCTTGCCTAACATTAGGAAAATGTAATTAGCAATTAATTAGGCAGTGTTGTGTTGTGTCCTGCCATGCGCTTAGTATCAAATCATATCGCCAGATTTTTAAAGGGACCATTTGCCGCAGGTAAACAGTAATAGATTTATTATTGTTGTGTTTGATATGTACGTCACTTTGTTTAGTGGTCTGGGGGCCGATGTTTCAATGGCGGATGTTTAACCAACACAACAGGTTATGTTGGTTGCACCATATGGTTGCACCATACCTGGTGCTAAAATATCTGAGGCTATCACAATTCTTAGCATTTAGTCATGTCTCTCTCTTTACGTACTGTTGTGCCAAAATCTTGACCAAAACGTTACATTGCATGTGACCTATTTCCATCCATCCCATTATTCATTCAATTCATTATTGCCAGATTGCCGGTGCATTAGGCCGCCATGGAAAAATAAATAAAAATATATATATATATATATATATATATATATATGAAATCAATTTTATTTTATTCATCTTCATCGCTTTGTTCATTAAGAAAAAGTAGGGTTTTTATCGTTTAGTGTATAATTATGTTCTTGGGATTATGGTAAGAGATATAAATAATAAATGTAACTGTGTATATTGACAAATTATTCTGTGGATTCAGATTCACTTTGTAAGATAAACTCAGATAATAAAAATACACAATTTATGTATTAAACTGAATGTTCACAATTTACATATTAACGGGGCATTTGATTGTTGGAGAGAGGGAAATCAGGGAATTACATGGGAAATGAATTGTTATTCCATGGGAGATGAATTACTAAGAATAAAGTGTAAATTTAAATTCCAATGTTTGGTATACATGAGAATTGAAAAGGAATAAGTAGTATAAAGTCCAAATGTCATTGTTGTTGTCAGGCATCAATTTTAGGTTAAAAAACAAAAGAAAAAAAGAGGAGGTAATTTTGTCTTTATCGTTATTTATTTTTTTTCCTAAAATCTATAGAATTAAAATACCAACGGGAACATGAGATTTTAATTCCATAAAAATAAAGAAATTATAATTCCATCCAATCAAACACACTGTTAGTATGATCCACACAACTGTAATAATGATCAATTCACTATATGTCTCAACTGAAAACTCGGCCCATTAGTCACCCAAGCCCATATCCTCAACAATACACACCCATTACTGGTTATGCATTAAACCGTCATTCTGATTTCTGAATTCCATTAAAAAAACAAAAATTTGTACTACAAACTTGAAATGATAATACAATGCCCAACATGGCGAAAGGAAACAGATCTCCTGCAAAACCGACAGGTCGGTCTATTAGCAGAAATTAAGGCTCTAATACTCCACCAAAAACATCTTGCTCACTGATCTTTCCGAGCCTTGGATCTCGCAGGTTTTGCTGGTTTAATGATGTTCCCGAGCATGATCAACACAACCGGCACAATCGTTCCAACATAGTACACGCTCCCGTATGCAGCAAGTGTTTCATGGAGACTCAATACCTGTAACGCATTAAACATGAAGCTATTGAAGCATATGCACTACGTTTTTCACCAAGCGATTTTCATTCTTATACAAGTCATGATTACTCACCAAGAAACCAACACACGAGTAGTTGAGAACCAAAAGGGTGTAAGCGAAGTTCATCAATGCTAGGATCTTCTTAAGGATAGCATTTCCAGTACCTTGCTGCCATCTGTAAATGGCTGTTCATATATAGACCACCCAAAATTAGAAGCAAGCAAACAATCAGGGGAAAAAAAATAAAAAAAAGGGTATGCCTAATTTACCTCTTGAACCGGCAATCATCAGAGCGGATTGTACAAAGAAAATCATATACCCGGGATATAAGCCCTGTAATGATGTCGTGGAACAAGTTACATCATTAGTCCAATGTTTAAGTCCAAAAGTCGCTAAAAATAAGTCCAAAAGAAAAAGGATGAGAAAGAACTTATTTAGGCTGGAAACGTAAAGAGAGAATCACAAATGGCTAAGGCAAGAGAATGCGTGAGAACTATTGCAATCACAAACGTAGTAACTAATTATATCGATCAATTATGCAAAGCTTTTCAAGAAATTGATGGTAAAAGTTCCGACTTACATGCCATACAGCACTGACAGTCTGCGTTGCCAGTAACTGGAAGAAACCAGGTTTCTTGCCCTTGCTGATAAGCCTCTCATAAACATCTAGAAAATAAAAAAGATAACAAGAACAAAACATAAAGTTTAGCCTTTCGAGAAATAACTACCTTTATGCCATTAACTTTGAATAGTAAAAGGAATGACATATGGAACCACAAATTTTCACCAATCTAATCAAGCCAAATGCACGAACGAGGCCACTATAACACAACTGAAATACATTAATGAAATTTAAGCTCCAAAATGACGTGCAAATGTTCGGGAAGATTACTTACAATGGCGTAGCCAGGTGCTGACTTGTATGTTCCATACAAGAGGCAACTGAACCGAACTCTTTGCCAACTCTACACCCAATATGTCAACGTTTTTTGCACGGTCCCACAGTGGTTTTGGGGGAGAAGACTCGGTCCAACCACTGAAACCCAGGCCAGAAATGATAATAGAGGCTTCTGAGATTGACCAGATAAAATAATATTTCCAACGAGCAGAGAAGCCAGACATGTACTGGTAACCAAGCCGTTTCCAGAAACCCCACTCTTGGTATAATGAATCATTAAACCTTGCAAGAGGGAAATATGGTACGAGGTACAGATACAATCCCATACAAAATGCAGCCTGAAGAAGAGCCCTTAAGGTTGGCACAAAAGGTGATGGTGACGGACGTTCTTTCCCTGCAGGCTTCCAGATCTAACCAAGATAATACAATAGTTTCAATTATTTATTAATCGTGATGATAATGAATAAATAAATAAATAAGGAAGCAACACGATCCACATACTCCTTTCCTCTCTGTCCATTCAAGGTAAGCCTTCATTTCGTACACTGGACCAGCAAAATGACTTCCACAACAAAGACAGTAACCAATGTACTCAAATAATGATGGCAATTTGAGCAAACGGTTTTGTTTCTGTGCCTCACGTAAATCATTCTCCTTCAGCAATCCATCTTGGTAATTCATCACACATGAAATGATTTTCAGTGTGATCACCATTAAAGCTCCTAAAATTTCATAAGAGATAAGGTCAACAATAATCCACACAAGACTAACTATAGATACAAGTTTTAATGTCATCACATCAAAACATCTTACCTAATGAACAGATGCAAAAAATTGTCAAGAGTAGGAAGAGAAAAAAATTAGCAACAGAAAAGTATGATGTGAGTACTTATGCACATCCAGCAAGGACCCAGAATCGAACACTAAATAGGGCACTATAACAAGGATGAAATGGAAAAAGATTCCACGGGAGGAATCCTGAAATGGACACAAATTCAATCATGTATTGTTCTCTGATTCATCATGGGCGGGAAAATTCCAACTTGCTAGATTGCTAGTTATGAAGACATTATAAGGTTTTTTAGTTTTCCATTCATTAGCAACCAAGTAAAGTAGTCTTACTTGATATTGCTGTTTTGCTATATTTTCTTTCACGCTGCTCATTAATAGGTTTGACAAATCTAGAGTACATTGTATTCTTCTAATGACATGAGTTATCTCGCAAGTTAGTTTTGGAGTTCAACACTAAAAAGTTGTGATCTTTTGAGGATGTCCTACAAAATTCCTAGGGAATAAAACATGAGAGACAACAACCGTAAGTATATCGAGAGGCAGTGCTTACCTGTAGAATCAATTCCTCCTTCCTTCCATGCATCGCCACTCATGTAGTATACATGGCTATGACAGGTAAAAACATATAGTCAAGAATTTTATAAAATCTCCCTGGAATATCAAAACTTTTAGGTTAACTTTTAAGTTTCAATAACTTAGGAAATACTTTAGCAGCCAAAAACATATGAATTCACACACATTCTTATTTCCTTCAATTCTAAGAAACATTATAATCAAGATCTAACCAGCTTAGCACTCTCATAGTGGAATACAATGTGAAATTTTTGTAATCCAAATTCTTTAACTTGAAACAGAAACTATTAAGCACTTTCCCTGAACCAACATCTAACTTCTCCCTACTCAATTAACACCTAAGCTGTGTTTGAACAAAATTATTGATATCTATATGTCTGGTAAAGCTTAATTAAACAAGTAAACCCCAATAGAAATGCAGAAAGGTGAAATCTTTGAAACTTGATAAGCTAAATGTACCATCCAATGAGGTAGCCAAAGGCGAGGAAGAAAGTGATTATCCCACAGTAAGGGCGGTAAAGAAGCATTGAAGCGTAGCCCAATAGCATGGGCACCAAGAAGTGGAGGTTGGAGGAGAAACCAAAGGACAAGTAGGAGAGAAGGGCGCCGGTGAGGGCGGCGTAGAGGTGCCTCCCGGACGAACCACCGGGGACAAAACGGTGGAGGCAGCTCACCGGAATTGTGGCTACGAAGCACAAAAGGAAGCGCAGTACCGGCACCGATACTCCGATTGCTGACGCCATTGGTTCCAGCTCCATGTCTCTCTCTTGTTGTTAGCTCAACCACTCTCCCTCAAGTCTTCGATTCCGAAGCTAAAGCAGCTAGCTATGAGGGAAGAAAGCAGAAAACGGGATTTATATACTCCGTATTTAACTGTCTGTCTGTGTATTTGGTGTACGGTAGAGCCGTAGAAATAAGATTTTTTGACTGAGAGGGATAAGATTTTGAGATACGGAAACCTCAAGGAATGGCCCTACGTCATCTTCAACATCAGACTCGAACTCTCGAAGTTAACGAAATTGGCAAACAACAAATCTATCATAAATAACCACCTTGGATGGCGTGAGCGACGTACATTATTGTCTTTTAAGAAAGATTGAGAGCTCTGGTACGAAAAAAGTGACGGTACATTCTTGTCTTTTAAGAAAGATTGAGAGCTCTCGTACGGAAAAATTAGTCTGGTCAGTATTTGCCTCTTAATTGTGTCGATTCAGTACGATGACCGATGGTTCGGTGCAAACAAAGACCTCATGGTCTGACTAAAATAATAAATCTATCAGAAATCTTAATAAATCTCGATAATTGATTTAAGTCGGACTAACTTAACCAAAATTTCAAGTTTGAACAGTTACCTTATTATAACTCATAAAAAGAATTGGTATGTAAATAATTCAGATTGATTTGAGTTGTTAGAGCTTTCAAGTTGAATTAATTATTTATGATGTATATTAATTAGTTAGTAATATGTGGTTGAATACAGTTGGCAGTAGGTGTATCACCTTCAAAGGTATTAAGGAATCTAGGGTTACAAGTTACCTAAACAACTGATAAAAATAAGGAGAATATTTACTTACGTTATACGGAATAACTTACAAACAAGAGGTGAAACGTTAAAAACTATGCAAGCAAACATTTACCCCAATTCCTTACTCTGTACTTTACACAGCTATATTATAGAAGGGTTTGACATTTCAAATTTTAAAAAATTCCAATTATATTACTTTCATTATCTTGCAAGAACCAATCTTTGACCCACCAAGAATCCATCTTTCAACTAAGAATCAATCATTTGACTAATTAAGAATGCACGCTTAACTCAATGGTTCAGTAAGTAGTAGTCTGAAACTGAGAATCTTCAAAATAAGACAATTTCAAATTAATAACAAAAATCAACACATTTGATAAAACCCCGACACTTGAAGATCACAAAGTCAAAGATACACATTTTCCTCATGAATAAAGATTTGATCCTCAAGCTACTATCACTACACTGCAGAAATATGGCTAAAATAAAAAGGAGCCATAACTCTATCATCACTAAACAATTACCACTAAGAGGAGGGCTAAACTGCAATCTAAAAAAATGCTTTAACCTCTCTTTGGCTTCATAGGGCGTACGAGGACAGAATCTACACAAAGCCCCCCCTTGGTATGGGTACAATCAATTTGAGTCATTGAAAACATTAGTTTCATCTGTGAGCTGGAATCAGCTACGATGAAATCTCCAGAATGGTGGTAAATCCATTTCCCGGGCTTGTTCAAGTAACACTGCGTTGTTGCTTGCTGGCCATCCGAGGTTGAAAGCTGGAACCGTACTGGTTTTATGTACCACCCGTGGACATGTTCTGAACTACAAACTCTACGACAAAATCTCCTGGTTGCACGCCCCAAGTGCAGCCTGAAGTAAACACTGTACGACCCTACTGGAAAAGGGAACTCTACCTCACCGTTAACTTCAAACCACCAGATTTGCTGAAGGTATGCAACTGAACCGAATCTACACAAAGTAAACAGGACAAGGCAAAATACATTAATGGTTGATCTGTGAGAACCGAACTAGAGATGCAGTAATAGGAATATAGTAAACAAACACAAACATTGAAGTCAAAATGCATTCTCTAAGCATTTGTTTTTTGGGGCAGGGGAGACCGGAGAGGCTGCAAACTAAGGAACATCCTCAAAAACGAGCACAAGAACATAACTTCCCTTTTCCAAGGTGACAACCTAATCAATCCATCACAAAAATTGGAGTAGAAATGCATTCTCTAGGCATTTGCTTGTTGGGGGAGGGGAGAGGCTGCAAACTAAGGAACATCCTCAAAAACGACACACAAGAACATAACTTCCCTTTTCCAAGGTGACAACCTAATCAATCCATCACAAAAATTGAAGTAGAAACGCATTCTCTAGGAATTTGCTTGTCAGGGGGAGGGGAGAGGCTGCAAAACTAAGGAACATCCTCAAAAACGAAGCACAACAATAATCAACTAACACTAAAACTTCCCTTTTCCGAGGTGACAATCTAATCAATCCATCACAAACATTGAAGTGGATCGGAAATGCATTCTCTAGGCATTCCCTTTTGGGGGAAGGGCGAGGCTGCAAAACTAAGGAACATCCTAATGAATGATGCACAAGAACAATCAACTTATATTACAATTCCAGGGCATTATATATGGAGCATGAATATCAAGGAACAATTTTGTTTGGTATGAGAGGATTTCATCACAACAATTGTATTTGATCAACCAATCTAAAAACACAAGCATCAATAAAGAAACATATACCCAATTCCAGTCTAATTAATCTAGACAATTCCAGTCTAATTAATCCACAGCGATTCCAGCCTCACCTTGATTCTTCGGTTGGAATTCGATTCCAGTATCTCCTATCATCTATGCCCGTTATAGCCAACCCATTTGAAGCCATTGAAAGACAAATCTTCCCAGTACTCTTATCCAACCAAACTTTCTGCAGGAAAACAAATATTTCAAATTTTCATCAGAACAATCATCAATCATCAAATCCGATGATAAAGTGAGCCCAAATCATTCAATCTTCATCAAACTTAAACAAAATTTGCAAAAACCATTTCTTTGTTAAAAAAAGAAATTCAACAATTATCAAATCTGATATGATTGCTTTTAAATTTTGATTAGACACAAGTTATTTGCAGAATTTTTACTTGATAGAATAAACAAGGGAAAAAGATCGGACCTTTGTGCCGCCATCAAAAGAATTGGGAACGCAAAGCCTGGCATAAATATCCCTTTTGCACAAATTTACCGGAAATTCCTTATCTTCAAAAACCCTTTGAATAAGCGACGCATAGTTCGCCGGAAGCTTCGATTCCCATACAAAGTCGGCGGAGGAGGCGCCCCTAAATGCTCGATTGAGCATCGCAAGCTGACAGATCTGCTGCGGGTCGAGGTGTACCAGCACCGACGCCACGCAGCTCTCCGGCAAGTCCCCGAGCCCGGGATTCGCCGGCATCGACGCGCACGCGCCGCCGTCCGGAAGCAAAAACGAGAACGCAGACCCCATCTTCCAAGATGGATGAAAGATTAAACCTCTCGATGCTATTCTCGAACGCGAAATGAAACCCCAAGCGTAGAGAGTGGAAATCTTATTCAGAAGGAATTGAAAAGGAGGAGAAAGAGGGCGAACAAACGTACAAAACAGCTGGAAGGCAATATATATTAGCAGTGGCGTACCATTAAGGTTGTACTTTTGTCCTCTTTGCTGTCTGTCTGTGTTTAAATATAATCCCAATCGCTACGCATAGTATTTGACTAGATTAAGATTTCTATGAAATTATCATATTAACCGCGTGTTTAGACTATTAATATTTCTTTTTTATTATAAAATCTTATAAAACTAAACCAATTTTCATTTTTTTTTTCATTTTGCTCAAGGTTTATTGTGTTGTGTTTCAAAACTGCCAAACACAACCTTCGATAGATCGATTAAGGACTAAGGAGCATTATCTGGATCAGGTTAGCTTAATAGATACACTATTAAGGATAATGGATAATGTTTTTTTTTTTTTTTGGTTTTACAAAATATTGGATAAAGATTATGAGGCATTAATTGGATAATAACCGTTAACACATAATAATGGCTAACGCCGTGTAATATTACACGATTTTTAGGTGTATTAAATTCATCCAATGTAGAAGGGAAGTTCTATTTACACCACCCATTTTGCTATTTACACCCCCCCTATTTAATAGGTGTAATAGCTTTATAGGGGGTGCAAATAAAAAAGTGCTTTTTGCACCACCTCATTAAATGTAGTCAAACATTAATCTTTATTTTTTATTTTTTATTTAATAATCAATCTCTTATTATTATTATTATTATTATTATTATTATTATTATTATTATTATGTTTTAATGCATAATTATTTTGTTCAATATTTTTAAAAAAAATTATTTTTAATACATATTTTTTTTAAAATTTCTATTTTCAATACATCTTTTTTTTGTTCGATACATATTTTTTTAAGTTTATATTTTCAATACTTATTTTTGTTTATGTTTTAATTTTAAATAAAGAGAAATAATAATTAATTTTGTTATTTTAATTTTTTTATAACTCAAATTTGTTGTATATATTATTTTAAATTGATTTAACTATAAATTGAAATATAAAATGATTACTAGTGATATTTGAAATAAATAAATATAAATTGATTTTCTACCTATCTTTTATAAAGATATATGTGGGTTAGAGTTCTAACAATTTTGATGTAGTTAAAATTCTATAAAGATATGTGGGTTATAGTTCTATTGAGACTTTGAAATATAAATTGATTTTCTACTTATCTTTTTATACGGTAAATACTGTAACAATTTTATAAAGATATATGGGTTAGAGTTCTAACAATTTTGATGTAGTTAAAATTCTAATCATAAAATAAGTGGAGGTCAAAGGCTTCTAATCATAAAATAAGTCTACTGCATGTGTTCCTACCCTCTTTCTATTTTGAATTTTGTATTTATGGTCGTCCTTCCGTCTCTGTAAAATAGTTTCCTACAATTGTGTATTCTTTGTAGTATATGTTGCTCTATGTACTCAATATTACTCAATAAATTGATTTTCTACCTATCTTTTTTATATTGTATTATTGTAAATACAATAAATTGATTAATTTACAACTCTATTCACAACAAATTAAATTAATTCAGTATATAGATAGACTCACAAGTCACCCAATAAATAAAATCACAAATTCAGTACTCTTTATACTATAATTTTCTCTCTTGAAATGGAACAATGAGATTGTTATTTAGTCAATTGAGAAATTATATCTAATTTAAATGAGTCCTAATTACCTAGCAAGGAAGAACAAACTGGCTTAAAATACAAATAGCAACACTCATAGAAATAAATAACAATTCAAATAACAACTTAAAATACCTCATAATGTCTATGACTTTGATTTTGATCATTGTAACTAAGTAACTGGCTTTGATTATGATTATTGTAAAAAAAAAAAAAAAAAAAAATCTTCTATCTAATGATCCATGACTTATAGATTGTGTGATACATAGGCTCTGTTTACATTAGTTTGTTTACATATTAAAATTTAACATTTTGTCTTTAAATTAATTAAGAGAAATAATTTTATTAGTTATATTGTCTTTATTTTTCTCCAATGTAAAAATTCTTTACATTCAGATTTATCAATTGATTATATTCACTACATTGTCTATTATCTTTTTTTTTTTTGTGCACTATTTTTTAATTAAATATCAAAGTTATAATACAAGTAATGTTATATGTTTATTTACCAAGTATTTTATTAATACCATGAAAATTTTTAAAAAATATAATTAATAAAGCAATTATATTAACTACTTGAGGGATTTGTTGACAAAGAAAGTATTCAAATCACACAACAAATTGAAGTGAGAACTACGTCACGATGTCCTTGTTTGACAATCAGCAGTTAGCGGTTAGCGTTAGCGGATTTGACCAGCGAATTATATCAACGGTTGGTAAAAAGATATTTGAATTATAATATTTGCGGTGAAAGTTGCGGATAAATTAAAAGAGAAGAGAAAAAAGTTTTAATTGAAAAGGGTAAATTATGTCATTTCTTTAAAATAATAAGGATAAAGATGGAAAAAAGTTAGGAAGCTAGGAACTTATTTTGAAACACTACCTAAAGTAGCGTTCCAAAATAAGCTCTTATTTTAAGCTAGAAGCTTATTTTATGAACATTACAAAACATAGTTTATAGCTTATTAGTAGCTTAAAATAAGCTATAAGCTCCTAAATAAGCTCTGCCAAACAGAGCGACCACACATATATATAGTCATATGAGTCCAATTTGTATTCTCTGCCACCCAAATTACCAGTAATTTCATCTCACAAACATCAATATTGAATAATTGCTTAAATATATATATATATATATATATATATATTGAAATATTATTAATTACACATCATAATATTTAATTTAATATTTTAATTAATTAGAGTTTGAATTAAAATATTATTAATTACACATCATAAATGAGGTTTGACCAAGTGGTGCAAATAGCAAAATGAACCCTTATTTAGCTATTTACACCACCTATTAATTATTAAAAGTTTCCACCTTTTTATAACTTCAAAATACTTTATACCTACTTTTGGTCAAAGGGTGGTGCAAATAGCAACACCCATGTAGAATCCTATTATTAGTTGACTGCTTTGAAATTTGAACCATTATGAATTTCAGTTATTTTCTTCATGTTCTTTGTGCCAATTTTAAAGTAGGAACATTGTCACGCGATTCATCAACGATTTGAACTCATTCGACAAATTTTTAAATTCAATTAAATTATTACTTTATTAGTAAGTTGAGTTTTAATCAAAGTAACGTACGAATATTAAGTTCAGGTTCCTTAATATAGTGTTCCAAGTTGAAAAGGAAAATTGATAATAATTGTGAAAATATGATTGCAACGTTTTTTTTCTTAATTTGATTTTATTTGTTTAACTTTTACAAATATAAAACTGATATTGATTATTAAATTTTTTTTGTTATGTGTATGTTCACATAGAATCCTAAACATATTATATATATATATATATATATATATATATATATATATATAAACATAAAAATTATGGACCATCCAAAATTATAAACATATATATTGAAGAAGTGATTCCAAAGCTTATGATTAAAGAAGAAAGAATAAGGGGGTGGAAAAGCGCAAGTGTCCAGCCAGCTCAACGTGTGTGTGAGTCAGCAGAACCAACGTCCCGCCGCCTGGATACACCACGTGGCAAATGGTCATCTTTGAATTTATAAATTATTATAATTGATGGGGTAGGGGATTTTCCTATAATATACTAATGTTTTAGGTGGTAGGGGATAGATAGCTAATTTTTTAGGTGATAGTCTCCTCAGCTTGTGTCTGATTGATTAAGGAAGAAAGAGTTACTATTTGATTTAGTACTTCGATTATTAAGATTTCACCACTTTAATTCTTGATTTTAAAATTTGTTCAATTTTATTCTCAATTATATAATTTTTAATCAAAATAATGATCTTATTGAGGATTATTTTTACAGAGAATTCATATCTTCTACTATATGGACTATTCCTTTCACACATCATTGTAGAACACTAGAATGTATTATTAGGAGCAACAAAAACCACGAGTTTCAACATAGTACTACGTATTCCTTTGGTGAATATGTTAGTGGTCCAAATGAATGAGAATTGTTGATCCAAATTGTGAGTGGGCTTAGCTTGTGACCCTAATCCACAACAATCTGTACTGCTGGCTGGGCAAGTGGGCAGCTAAAACAAATAACTGAAATTTGTGTTAGATTTCATTTCGATCAGGATGTACGTCATCTTGTTTTGGTGCGGCAGATCAGATCTGACATCCTTAATCCTTATCTTCGATCATTATTTTATCCAAATTCCAATTTCAACGTCACACACACACATCATTTTTATCTCATCTCGATCTGCATCTAACCTGCATGCGCTTCTTCTTTCACATATACCTTTCACTTCATCGTAAACCTCTCTCTCTCTCTCTCTCTATATATATATATATATATATAGTGAGAGAGAGGAGAGAGGATATCCGTGCCGTCACTCATGAACATGCTGCATGTATGCACCCCAACAAATTAACTGAAACAAAACCACTATATTTAAACACTTCCAAGTTTGAGTTGTTAATTAATCAAATAATAAAATAGTAAGTCAATAAATAAAAAATGTACACTGCAACGTATAGTTCATCTCACCACCATAATCCAAAATTTATAATAATAATAATTGCACCAACCAAAATCATTCTTGTCCACCAATCATTGCGCAAACAAAATCATACTCTTTTTTTTATTATTATGATTTCTTCCTTGCTTAACAAAGGAAAATCACTATAATATTTGTGGTCAAATAAAGTTTTATTTAAAGTAATGTTTTTCAATTGATCAATTATTAAAACTAATAGTCGGTTTTTCAAAACAAAAAAAAAAAAACTAATAGTCGGCACAATATTACTTTTTAAAACCTCAATTATTTTACAATATTTATCTAAATTTTCAGCAATTTCTTTATTTTGACGTGTTTATCACCCGAACACGTGGCCACACCTGTTTGATCCTTACCACCCGCAAGCCGACACGTGGCGGGGACGATAGTTCCACAAAGATATTTTTTTTAGGAAAAAAAAAAAAAAAAGTGTCAAAATTTTATGTCGTGAAAGCAATATCTTGGCCACCTCCGTGAGAAAGTGCATGCAACCTTTGCACAACCACCGCCTCCGTGTGCCACCACCATGGATGGCGAAGCCGGCCAGGGTTCAGAGACGAGTGTGTATGCAGCGCTGGCGGAGCGGTGCCGGAGTCTGGAGGCGAGCCTGGCGAGCCTCCAGCAACAGTTCGATGTGCTGTTGCGAGAACAGAGTAGTACGAGCTGTCAGGACTCCGGACAAGAGGTGGCGTCGGATTCCGGTGACTTGACGTCATATCCCGGCTGGGGTTACGTCCCCGGAGCATTCTTTCACGGGAGTCCGTACAAGAACGTATTAGAATACATGGGGAATGCAGTTCACGTTAGCAGACCTGCTACTGATGAGATCATCTACTGGTAATTATTATTTGATTAATAGCTTTTATGGTTTTGCCCCACTAATTAATTTCACTTGAATGAATTTATTGGTTACAGGAACAGATCTGCTGAAAAACTGTACGGATATAAAGATGATGAAGCAATTGGAAAGAGTGGCACAGAACTGCTTATTGACAGAGAGCATCAGGAATGGGTTGCATCCATATCGAGGTCAGGGAAGCCATGGTCGGGGCAAATACCCTGCAAGAAAAGGTCTGGTCAGAGCTTCATGGCAATGGTGACCAAGAATCCATTGTATGAGGATGAAGAGCTTGTAGGTGTCATCACTGTTTCAAGTGATGCAGCTTTATTCAATAGCATAAGATTGAGAAATAATCTTAGATCATATGATAATGGCCAAGCTGGGATAATAAGGACAATATATCCAAAAAGGTTCCAATGGCGTCCATGCCCCTTTATTGCACCTTCTGTATCCAATCTGGTGTTCATTCTACACTCTCATATCCCATTTTTATTTGATTTGATTAGTTTTTAGTGGAAGGTTTTTACTCAATTTTCTGGATTGATTAATCAGGCCACCAAAGTTTTTTCAATGAAACATGGAGATGAAGCATGCAGCAATGAACCTGTAAGTATTGGAGAAAAGAGAAAAAGTATTGATGTGATCTGTGAAGAAGAAAATGATTTAGGATCCAAATTATATTTTTCTAATCCACATGTATGTTTGGGACATTGTAGGCAGCAAAGGTTTTGTCAAAGCTGAATATTGCAGGAATGGTAAAACTGGGGAAGAACAAGTTTGGAAAGAATAATCAGCCAAATGGTTGCAGTTCAGCATCCATTGAAGTAGATGAGATATGTTCTCCAGAGACTTCACAGGCTGTTAATAATGGAAATACACAGGGAGAAACTGAGCCAGAGCCAAATAGGATTATTGCAAAATATGAAATTAATTGGGAAGATATAAGATTGAAGGAGGAAATTGGGCAAGGTTAGTTGAAGCAAATTAAAGACCTCATTAATGTTTTTGTCTGTTTTTTGCATGTTCCTTAAAGTAACATGCATCAACCTTAGCTTGAATGCATCATTATATTAACAGAAAAACATTATCTGAACTACAGACTTTAAGTTTACCCTGCGCTATTCTATTAGAATCAGCTTCCATATCATCTTACATAATCACTTCAATGCAATTTTTTTCCATTTCAGGTTCATTCGCCAATGTGTATCGTGGAATCTGGAATGGATCAGTATGTATTCTGGTCCCAAATTTGGACAGTCATCATACATTTGAATACTCATTCCTTTCTTTGCTTCTGGTTTCAGGATGTTGCTGTTAAGGTTTATTTTGGAAACGAATACAGCGAGAGGACCTTGCTTGACTACAAGAAAGAGGTTTGTGGTTGTGGCGGTTAAGTAGTTATATATTATCTGAAATTGTCACAAAAAGTTCTGTCTCTGATCGATTTGCAGATTGACATAATGAAAAGACTTAGACATCCAAATGTACTGCTGTTTATGGGGGCGGTTTCTTCACAAGAGAAACTAGCCCTTATAACTGAATACTTGCCCAGGTAATCCAACATTATATTATATTCCTTCCATATGAAAAGTTGTTGTTGACAAAAAAGGTTTAGGGTAATATAAGCTGGATTAATATAAATGTTGTTCATTACCTATCCAGGGGAAGTCTGTTTAAAACGCTTCACAAGAGCAGCCAACAATTGGATACTAGACGGCGTTTAAGGATGGCCCTGGACGTGGTACATTATTATTGTTTAGTTTGAAGTTGCTGATTTCTAGCTATTTGCTATGATGTTTTATATATGGTGTTTGAGTCTCAATTTCATAATGCAGGCTAGAGGTATGAATTATTTGCACTGTAGGAATCCGCCCATAGTACATAGAGACCTGAAATCTTCGAATTTACTGGTTGATAAGAGCTGGACAGTGAAGGTATATTACTGTGTAATGAAATGGGCCTTCAAATTTAAGGTTTGTGGGTTGAGTAAACTAATATCTGCATTGGTTTTTGTCAGGTTGGGGATTTTGGGCTTTCAAGACTGAAATATGCAACACTTCTAACAGCCAAATCTGGGGGAGGAACTGTAATAATGTTTGACTCTTTCATTATATATGTATAGCTCTTTAATTACTTCAAGTTTGTATATTGTGTGTGTTAATTAAGTTATAACCATTGCATGGCAGCCCCAGTGGATGGCTCCTGAAGTCCTTCGCAATGAACCTTCAACTGAAAAGTAATGTCTAGAGGCCGAGCTTTATATTGTCTGTCTAGGTTGTGACTCTATATATCTCAGTTTTGGTGATTTGTTGTTGTGGTTGTGGTGCTGGGCAGGTCGGATGTGTTCAGTTTTGGTGTGATTTTGTGGGAATTGATGACAGAATTGATACCTTGGAGCGACCTCAATTCCTTACAGGTATGGATACCTCAATTGTTGGCTGGCCTGTTAGTTGGATATACTTACACGTACTAGGGAACTAAACTAATATATAGCCTATCTTCATCACTTGCATTATATCATGGATGTGGTTAAAGGTGGTGGGAGTTGTTGGGTTCATGGACCGCAGACTGGAGCTTCCAGAAAACATTGATCCTAGGGTGTCTTCCATCATTCTCGATTGCTGGCAAAGGTAGGTTTCTGTCTTTCCTTATTATCCTCTTAAGTCTTAACATCCTTTTTCTCTAACCTTTAATTTGCTTCCTTCTTGCTCAAATAAATGTGTTTAAATATATTTGCAGCAACCCAGAAGATCGGCCTTCGTTTCACAACATCATTCTGAGGGTGGTGGATGCGATTCAGCAGGCATGTGGCAGGATTGGAAGAACTAACTCAGATCCTTGATCTTTTTTTTTTTTTTTTTTTTTTAATACATACACAAGAAACACAGACAAGGCGGCATGGGACAACAACCTAGTATTTGTACTTATGTTGTTGCCTCATGCCTGCCTTTCTAACTAAGAATTAAGAAACTCACAAAACCAATGGCTGTCAAGCTAAGCTGCCATTTTAATTTGTGTCTTTGTTAGTATTTCTTTAGCTAGGTTACAATGTAATCTGATCTGGTCTTTAATTTTCCAGGCACCAATGCCCGCAGCCCAAAGTTATAATCCAATCAGAAAACCATACTGATTATATTACAATATAATGCAATTGAATTTTCTGCAAGTCCATTGCAAACAGGTCTACAATATAATATTTCTACAGCTAGCAATCTATCTTTTTTGTTCCAACCATATATATACATGTATACAAAGTAATATTACTGATGATCAATCGAGTTTGGTCCATAATAAATCATCAGAAAGCAGGAAAAGTTGTGGATGTCAACTATATTGTTGCAGTGCCATATATGTTGAAGTTGATAATGGCATCAGCTGCAATGAGCATTTGCATTAATCTGTCCTCTGAACAGCATCACAAATCCCACACTATGAATCTACACCGCACCCACCATTTGAATAAACCAAGCTAGCTAGTGTACGTTTATACCAGGAAGCAAGCTAAGCTAGCTATAATATAATGCCCAGGGTAACATACATATACATACAATACAATACAAGAGGAAAGGGAAACAGCTAGTATGCTCGAGTATAAAAAGAATCTAACTAATAATAATAATAATAATTATACGGCAATCCAGTCAGCAAAAATTGAAAGTTAACCCTTTAATTGCTTTTTTTTGGAGAGTTATTTGAGTTCGGTGACTTTTGTTTCCCAAATAGTTCAGTGGCTTATTTATACTTTATACATAAAAAAAAAATCCCCATGCAATCATTGATTTTTTTCAGATTTATGGGACCCACCAAGGAAGCAAAAAAGGGAGGAAAGAGGCCCTGGTGCATCGTCATAATTAGTGAACAAGTGTAAGCTTTGCTGCCTGACAGTATGGAGTACTGACCAAAATAAATATCGCCTGGTTTGCGTAAAGTGAACCACAACGCCCAGCTAAACCCGTGCAGCTCGGTTTTCTTTATTATAATTATTTTTTGTTTTTTAGATTTATCTTTTCATTTTTTCTCTTCTCTCACATTTTTTTTTTCTAGTCATACCTACAAAAAATGCTCAAAATCTACAACTATTAGGTATACTAAGCCACTTCATACTATTCTTTTTTTAATTAATAAATAGTGACATGACTTATGCCATGTCACTTTAAAAGAAGTAAAATTTGAAAGATGAGGATGTAAAATACTAGGTGTACTCTCACTCTATACTCCTGACTTTTATTTTTTATTTTTTATTTTATTAGGAAGGGGGAAACCCAAAGAAAGCAAAACAAGTTACTGTGCATTATACATGAAATGCCAAGATGGAAAACCAGCAATGTCGTCCTCAAGAAAACTCAAAATATCTTCCACTGGCGAATTTAAAATGTGCACTCCAGGGGGAAGTTCTTGGGGAAAAAAACACAAGATGATCTGCGACGTAGTTCTGCTCTCTGGCGATTGCTGTAGCCTGCCAACTCTCGAGACGTCGGAGTTCTTTCTTGCAGGCTTCAAGAATATTATGAGCCGCAGTGCGAGGAAGGCCACTCCCTTTGATATAGTTAATGGCGTTCGAGGAATCATTTTCAATGATCAGATTATTACAGCTCTTGGATACTGCTAATTGAATACCCTCTAGTATAGTCCATGCTTCAGCTTCGAAAGGAGTGTAGTTACCTATATTGAAAGCGAATCCTTGATACTAATTTCTGGAGCCTCACTCTATACTCCTGACTCTCACTCTACGAAAAATCTTAAAATAGACTAAAATTGAAACATTTTTAATAATAATGGATGTAATGTGACAAAAATAATTATGATAGACTAAAATTAGAAAATCACATATAACAATAGGATCAAAAATGAAATTTAGTCTAATAATAATAAAAAGGAATAAGGTTCAAATTGGCCACTGAACGTAACCTGAAAGTGCAATTAGGCCACTGAACGAAAAAAAAGTGCAATTAGGTCACTGAACACTCCAAAAATGTGCAATTTCACTTGATAGCAGGTTACCCTCAATTTTAGCAGGTTATTTGCTTACGTGGCAGCTGAGTTGGCATTTTTAATAAATTTTAGTTAATTTTTAATAAATTTTAATAATAAATTTTTATTAAAAAAATTTTAAAAAAAATAAAAACGACTTTATTTTATTTTTTATTTAATTTTTTATAAAATTTATTATTAAAATTAATTATTAAAAATTATTTAAAAATTATTAAAAATGCCAACTAAGCTGCCACGTAAGCAGGTAACCTGCTAAAATTGATGGTAACCTGCTATCCGGTAAAATTGCATAAGTTTGGAGAGTTCAGTGGCCTAATTACACATTTTTTAAGTATTCAATAGTCTAATTGCACTTTTTTTTCGTTCAGTGGCCTAATTGCATTTTCAGGTTACGTTCAGTGGCCAATTTGAACCTTAATGTTGAATGCACAATTTGGATCCTAAGTTATCACTATTAAAGGCAACTTGATCTGGAACAGTGACGTAGTGTTTGCTATCTGTGTGTCGTTGTTCATTTCAGCCCTCATTTTCATATCCGAAACAATCTTGCAATCTCCTTGTTCCCTGCGACCATGGAGTAGTTGGCTACTGTACGGCCTACTCCACTGGATCATAATCTTTCCATTCTTGTTGTACTGCATTTTACTGTATCCAAAATTCGCCTGAAAATGTTTTCACCTACTTACACCAACTCACCTTTAATGACTCCCGCCGCTGCCGATGGCTATGCCGGAACCCGCCCATCACTGCGCCGACACAGCATCCGCGACGTCGTCTGGGTTCTCCGGCGAGCCGGCAGTCGCGGGATGGTGATGCGGGAGCCGTCGGCGCTGGTGCGCCAGGCTGCGGCGGAGCAGATGGACGAGCGGCAGAGCGATTGGGCGTACTCGAAGCCCGTCGTCATTCTCGACCTCGTTTGGAACTTGGCGTTCGTGCTGATTGCCGCCGCGGTGCTGGTGTTGAGCCGGGATGAGCAGCCGGAATTGCCGCTCAGGCTTTGGATTGTAGGGTACGCATTGCAGTGTGTGCTGCACGCGGTGTCTGTTTCTCTGGAGTATCGCAAGAGGAGGCGGCGGAGATGGCAATCGGCGGATGAGGCGTTTGGTAGAGGCGGCGAGGGTTTGAACTCTTCTACTGGTTATGTCACTTTGGCCCAATTCTCTCAGGAGGAAACTAGGTCAAGTTCAAACCCTTTACTTCTCTTTACCTATAATTCTGCAATTTCATTTTGTTTGATGAAGCTATTTATACCCAAATGTGCTTGATTTGGAATGGGAATTTGTCAAATCATTTTGTTTATTGCTAATTCTAGCTAGGGTTCTATTGCACACCTGGGGTAAAAACAACAAAACAGCAGAAAGGGGTAGAGAAGAAGAAGAAAAATTAGGGTTCGAGAAAAAAGGATAAGATTAGGGCTTTTGATTTTTGTCAAATGTCTGAAAGCCTGAAAAACAAAACATAGCTAATATATACAACTAGGCTAATACATCCAAAAGATCCATAACCAACTCCACGATTCGCGCTTCTGCAAAATTCCAGCTGCACACTTCAACGACGTCGTCTGAGGTTTGCTTGCAACTGCTTCCAACGGCCATCTCCAACGACGCCGTTCCATCCTTTTATTCCAACGGTTCCAACGGCTAACATCAAACACTGTCGTTTAGATAAGTGGCTGCTCATCCTTACTGCAAACGGTGTCGTATTGGCCCCTCGACTTATTTCCCATACTTAGCCCATGCAATTGATTTCTCACCTGATCCTTAATTCTTCTTCCAGCATTCCCTTCCTCATTTCCCATGTTTAAGATCATCACAGGTTCCAACTTCCAAGTAAAATCATTGCATATTCTTGTTATAGAAATTAAAAAAAAAAAAAAATGAATAATGGATTAATGTCATCTAATATATGCCAACTTCTTTTGGAGGATCTTAAACTTTCTTGCTTCTTTTCCTTTGAAATGTTACATGCGCTTTGTGTAATGTTATACAAATGCACTTGTCTATGTCTCTATCAGAGTTGTATCAGCACTTGAAACTAAATTTCTCCCATTATTTGAACTTTATGGCTCACTGGTGATTTGTTTCAACTTTCAGTACTGTGGCGAAGTATTTAGAATCCATAAATACGATGTTTTCGTTTGTATGGTGGATTATTGGGTTCTATTGGGCTTCTGTTGGCGGACAACCAATGGCGCAAGACTCCCCTCAGTTATACTGGTTTGTGAGGATACTTGTATTTCATTAAAGGCCCGAGTAATTTTCAACTTAAATAACATCCGTGGTTAACATAATCTCTCTTGCTTGCTCGCGGTGCAGGGCTTCCATCATCTTCTTGGCTTTTGATGTCTTCTTTGTGGTTTTCTGCATCATTTTGGCATGTGTAATTGGTCTTGGAATATGCTGTTGCCTGCCTTGTATTCTTGCAGTCTTGTATGCTGTAGCTGATCAGGTAATCAATCCCCAGCACAATCATTTCCTTAAATCTCCTTTCTATATGTGACTTGGTCGAATTTAGGTTATTTCCTTTGGAGAAAAGGGTTAAATAGACTCTCGAACTTTAGCTTAAAAGTCAATTAGGCCCCTAAACTTTTTAAAGGTTCAATTACACCCATCAACAATTCATTTAAGTGCAATGAAGCCCAAAAACAAGTTAATGACCTGCTATCACAGGTCATTAGGGTTCAGGCCACCTTCCGGCGAATTTTCCGGCAAAATTTTCGACAAAAGAAGTGACCGGCGAAATTTTCGGCAAATCTGGGTCAGTTGCTGGTCACCTCTTTTTTGTCGGAAAATTCGTCGGAAGGTGGCCTGAACCCTAATGACCTGTGATAGCAGGTCATTAACTTGTTTTTGGGCTTCATTGCACCTAAATGAATTGTTGATGGGTGTAATTGAACCTTTAAAAAGTTTAGGAGCCTAATTGACTTTTAAGCTAAAGTTCGAGGGCCTATTTGACCCTTTTCCCTTTCCTTTGTATATATGTCGGCAATGTTAAAAAATCGCTAGGCGCCTGGGGACCGCCTAGGAGGCCGACCGCTTAGCGCCTAGGCGCGATTTTTGCAACATTGTATGATGTCGGCTTCTAGGACACACAATGGATGTTGGAGGAAGAATAAGTAGACAACAGACAAAGCCAGTTTCTTAATATGGTCTTGTATATAATATATTCTCGACAGTATGCATCTGAGTGTATATCAGCTCAGATCCATGTTCGTGTGTTAATTGGTGCAGGATGGAGCAGACCAAGAAGACATCGAACGACTCTCGAAATATACATTTACAAGAACCATTAGTTTCGAGAATGGTGATGGCGAGGAGGCACACGGAAGTATTGCAGGAGTGATGACCTTATGTGGGGTGGACGTGGCCATGGGGATGGCGCACCAACTATCAGTGGACGATGCAGTATGTCCTCCGTCATCTTCTTCCTTTTTCATCTCCGTTTTTGTTGTTTTCCTTCATTCTTTTCCCTTCATTTTGCAGGAGTGCTGCATATGTCTGTGTGCGTACGAGGATGGAGCTGAACTTCGACAACTTCCCTGTGGTCACCATTTTCATTGTGCTTGTGCGGATAAGTGGCTGCAGATTAACGCCACATGTCCCCTTTGCAAGAACAGTATCATCAAGGGTAGCTACCACACAAGTGGAGAGGTTTAATCTTTATGGTTTCTTGTTCCTTAATGCTGTTGTTTGAATTGCCCCCAGGCAACCTTTTGTTTCACTGTATCACCGTGTAGTGTAGATATTGTGTTCACCAACTATATAAACCTCTATGTATGTATGTATGTGTATATGTGTATTGGCATTCAGAACATGCTGATCATAGCATTGTTGTTGTCGTCCTGTTTTTGTAATTGGTAATTGGCAATATCAATGAATCTCTGTTTACAAAATCAGTATTGCCACAACTTTTTTATTTTTAATACAAGGGAGAGTAAGATAAACTCAGAAATTACAGATCTGTCACGGTGGCTAGGCCATGAGAAAGGGCGGAGCCACCGCGCGGGAGGGGTTCAAAGTGGATCTCTAATACTCAACAGGATAGATCACATCTCAATTAGTCTTGCAATCTTCTTTTTTCCCAGATTTCACACTTTGTCAAGTCTGACGAAGAATCCGGCGGCTCACATTTCACCGGCTGTCTTTCATCGTCCTCGCTTGTTGTCCTTATGCGCTTGGCGCCAATCGAGACGCCGAACTGCGCTTGGCGCCAATCGAGACGCCGAACAGCCTCGGGCTTAGTGTTGTCGTAGTAACGCCGTGGCCTCCTTCCGCTTCGGCGCCGCTGCATTCGCGCTCCTCCGAATCCTGCCGCCCTGGGAGCAAATCTAATACCTGTCCTTCCGGCGAACCGGTTGGCGTTTCCACGGCGTAATTGGACATCAAGTTGCATACGTTCTTACACAAACCTCTCAACCGATTCAATTCCTGAGTCAGCTGCGCGTTCTCTTTTCTCAACCTGTCATTCTCCTCCAAAATTTCCGGCGTCGTCGTGTACGTTGTAGGACGTAATACCACGGCGGTGGCAGTGGCGGCCGGCGACGAGTTGGACGACAAAACTTGCTCGTCTGCGGAATTCGTTGGAGAAACGGCTTTCAGAGCCGATGCCACTGCGAGCGTCACCACCTGTGCATTTGGAAGAATCGGTGTCGAATTCGCGGCTGCTGACATTTTCCGGCGTTGAATATCACGCAGAAGTCGTTTCTCACCTCTGCGGAAGGAGTCGTTTGCAAATTCCCACCGATCGGGCACCACTTTTCTGAATCCCTATAAAATAAAATTCCCAACAAAAAACATGAATCATTATAAGCGCGTTAATTCATAATGGAATACTATGATTATGATGATTAATCTTACATAAGTGTTGAGCTGTCGAACGAAGCTAGAGAAATTATTGTGCTTGAAGTATTTAGGAAGCAACTCCGTTGCGAACTCCGCTGGTTTCCACACAATAAATGCAGTTCCATCTTCATTCCACGAAATCAAATTGTCAACGTCCGGATCATCCACGAGCTGATACGTTTTGGTCAAAAACGGCGTCGGAATAGATCTCTGAGACTCACCCGCCGTCGTCTCACCGCTTTGCTCAACCGGAGACGGACCCATAACGTCCGCTTGCTTCAGATCCAAACCGTAAAAAGAAAAAGAAAAAAAATGTTTCTTCAGACCTGTCGGCCAAAAAACAAATGAAAGGAATCTAGTGTAGGAAGTATAGAAGAAGAGGGTGGTTTCTAGAAAGTTCTGGGGGAAGGGAAGAGGAGAGGAGAATGATGGAATCCAGGCAGGCAAGAAGGAAGGTTAGGATTTAGGAAATGGTGGAAAATGAGGGAAATCGGAGCGGGTGGGGACTCGGTTTTTGATTAAAGAAGGCGCGAGAAGGTGGCGTTTCCAGAAGTTTCTCAAATTTCCGTTGGAAGGTTTCGAGAAACGGCACGTGTCGGAGTGTATGTGGAACCATAATCCAAGGTTGAAGATAAGGATGCTACAACACTAAAGATAGATGGACGGTTTGGAAGTTAAATTCGCCGCACACTGTTTAGCTTTTCTTTTTTGATTCGCAAAATAACACTTTTTTTAACCAAACATTTTAATACATTAATAATTTTTAATATAATATTATAACGAAATTCATACTTACTCTATAATAATAATAATGTATTGAGAAAACTGAGAATGAATTTGAGTTTGATGATTTTGTTGTTGTATGAAAATAAGTCTAATTAGAAGAGTTGCAAATAAATATAAAGGAGATGACAACAAATTACAGCTTGCTTGCTTGCTTGCAGACATACAAACACACGGCATATGTTTCTTTCTAAGACAGATGTTATTACTAGTTTTAGTATAGTATAGGCAGCCCTTCAAGCTTCAAGCTTCAAGGTTGAGACTGGTATCCCCAGGGGTTCTGAGATCCCCATTTCCACTGGTCTCTGCACATCTCATCTATGCCATTCTTCGCCCTGCCAACAACACATATATAATTCGATCTTAAGGTTAATGTGTGTGGAAACTTTTGATAAGTGTCAAAGATGCATCGGAAGGGTTTTGGGGATAGGGGTTGGGTTCGATCAACTTCTGACTTACTTCCAACCAAGCTCTTTCTCAGCCTTCTGGGTTGATGCATAGACGGCTGTTGCATCCCCTGCTCTTCTCGGGCATAGTTTGATCGGAATTTTCTGAAAATTAAACAACTCTTTAGTACAGTTAGAGCCTACATAAACATAATGAATAATGTGGTTTACCCATAGACAGATGAGAGGAAGAGAGACAGAGAGACAGACCTTCCCAGAAGCTTTTTCAAAGGCAGCTACCATTTCCAGGACAGATGTTCCCTCACCAGTTCCCAAGTTGTAGGCAACACAACCTTAACACACACACACACACACATTTGTTTGTCTTATGTCAGTCAGAACTCAGAAGAAGAGAAATTATAATAGCATTCATTGTTCAGAAAAGATGATGCTGACCGACCTATATTATCTTGTTTGAGAAGTTTATGAAGCGCAACAACATGGCCATCTGCTAAATCCATAACATGGATATAGTCTCGTATCTGTCACATTATTATTAAAAATCAATCACATTGTTTGGCAATCCTCAAATAACATTCAAATTTATGGTTAAAGCAAACAGTGCGTGCTTACTGCAGTGCCATCAGGGGTGGGATAATCGTAACCATAAACATTTAACTCCGGCAATCGCCCAACAGCTACTTGTTGGATGTAAGGCATGAGATTGTTGGGAATGCCTATTGGATCTTCCCCAAGTTTTCCGCTCGGATGAGCACCAACAGGATTGAAATATCTCAGCAAAATTATTCTCCATTCAGGATCCGCCTTTTGAATATCCCGAGCAATCTCTTCAAGAACCAGCTAGTTACACAAACACACAAACACATTATTTCCTCACAATCTCAAACCCATTCATTCAACACCAAATAATATTCAAACGTACAATTACCTTGGTACGACCATAAGGGTTCATAGCCTTCAATTGAAAATCCTCTACACATGGAATCTTCTCAGGCTGACCGTAGACTGTTGCTGAAGACGAGAAAACCAACTGCATATATAACCACGTACGCTTGTTTTATTAAAAGAATCAAACCCAAACATAAACAGGGGTGATGGGAATATGGGATGGAATTAATCAGATGATTAGTAAAGATTCTCAGAATAGAATATTGATGGATTCAAACACACAACTTTAGAATATCAGAAAGCATACAAGAGAGGAACAAACCTTCTTACAATTATACTTTTCCATTACTGAATATAAGGTTATTGATCCAATTAGGTTGTTATCGAAATAACGAAATGGATGAGCAACACTCTCTCCAACAGCTTTAAGCCCAGCAAAATGGACAACAGCATCAAACCTAAACATTAGCAAAGCACCACAGTACTATATATTATTCAAACTAAATGCAGCATCGTATCAAATCAGAAGTTGATTCCAAAACAAACAACATTCAAGAAAAATATAAAGCCTTAGCCTCAGCTCACACCACATACTTTGTCTGAGAAAACAACTTCTCCAAATCATCCTTGTTTCTGATATCACCCTGCAAGGCACCAATCAATAAAACAGATCAAATAGGGTTCCTAAACTTGACAGCAAACTGAAAATCAAAGTAGAATGGATACACAATCCAAGCACATCACACATAATTGGCAAAGAATTAATCAAAATTAGCCATGAAATCACTTCTTTTGAATATCTGCAACCCAACCATGCAACTATGCAACAGAAAAGACACTACAAGATTCTGAGACCATTGAAAGTTTGAATCTTTCAAGCCTGCCCTCAGCTCAATCAAAGATCCCAAGAACAAAAGATTCCCATACTTTATTGTGTTTGGAATTTGCTAAATAATTAATGGGAATTTAGATGAGGTAAAAGAGTGTACCAAACAGAAATGAAGATTCTGGGAGAGCTGGGGTCCAACCAACTCTCTGACCCTTTGAACAGCTTCTTCTACAGCGTTGTGAAGATTATCAATGATCCAAACTATGAAGCCTTCATCAAGAAGCTGAACCACGGTGTGGGTACCTATGAACCCAGCCCCACCAGTCACCAAAATCGTTTCTTGCCGACCCATCACCATTCTCGTTTCTTTTTCTGCGAATTCACCTTTCTAATCTAATCTAATCACTATACGGAGTGTGCGGCTACTTCATGTACTTATAGAGATCGAGTGATTGTGTATGGGGTTGGGACCGCAGTAATTTAACGGTGGACGGAAAGTTTGTGAGATATGGGTAAGTTTTGCACTTTTGCTATGAGAGAGAGAGAGAGAGAGAGAGAGAGAGAGAGAGATAATTGGAAAGGCAGAATTTGAGCATATCAAGGGAGACTGTTTCAGTGGATAACCAGAAACGCTGGTGAAAAACAAGAGACCCAAAAACAAACAGCAAAAAAAGAAAAATAAATAAACATTAATTTCGTGCGTGTTATGCGCATGAAGTAAGATGATTCATGATCTTGCTTCAGGATCTTTTGTAGATTAGGTGCATACCACATTTATAATTTGTACTAACATTTTTTTTTTTTTTTGTGACAATAGTAAAAAATATAACGAAAGTTATAACGATAATAGTTTATTTATTCAAAATATTCAATCATAAATTCAGCTAACGAGATTATACTTAGTGACCGATTATAACACATCAACGTATTTATATCATTACTAATTTTAATTTTTTGTGTATAGCTGTTCTTTCACTTATCACTATATTTAATCTTTTGACAGTCATTTGAAATATGGTAACAAACAAAGTAATTTCTATATTTGATTTCCTAAATTAATATAAATTGTTTTGTCTTCTCGTCGTAAGATGTATTCTTGCTGTGTTTCCTAATTTGGGATGATTTATGCTTTTTTAAAATTTGAATTTAATATAATTTTAGAAATTAGATAATGAAATTATGTTTTTATCGTGTCTCAAAGATAGAAAATCTAAAAGATGAAAAGTTAATAAAAATTAATACTTAAAAAATAGGTTTTTTTCACTATATTTAGTCTCAAATGGTCATTTGAAATATGGTAAAAAAAAAAAAGTAATTTAATTTCTATATTTGATTTCCTAAATTAATCTAAATTGTTGTAACTGTCTTCTCATCCTAAAATGTGTTCTCGTTGTGTTTCTTAATTTGGGATGATTTATGCTTTTTTTAAAATTTGAATTTGATATAATTTAAGAAATTAGATAATGAAATTATGGTTTTGTGCTTTTGTCGTGCCTCAATGATAGAAAATCTAGAAGATGGAAAGTTAATAAAAAGTAAATAGTTAAAAGAAAAAAAAATTATTGATTTTAAAATTGAGAATCAAAAGTGATATTACAATATCGTAAATAGTTAAATGGTTGTGTTTTTTTTTTTTTTTTTTTTTTTTTTTTCCTTTCAAAAAAAAAAAAAAAAAAAAAATTTGTTTTGAAAAAAAAAAAAAGTACGTAGCATTTATTCGTACTCCGTATATGATTCCAAGGAGGATTGGATTTGCAGGTGGGAGCGGAAAGAGATGAGGATGAAGTGATGAAGGTTGGAGTTGCCAATCTGCCAACTTCTTTAATTGGGAAATGAACCCGGTTGGCATGCATTATCTAGCCTGCCCAATTTCAAATCGAATCAATATTTTGCAGATAATGATAATTAATAATACGCAAAATTATATTTTTCACATTTAAGTTAGAGTGTAATGGTATAGTTCGTTCTGATTGTGTTCACTTTTTCTTTTTATGTTATCCTTGTCGTTATATTTTTTGTCTCTGAATTATACTAAACTTGTAAATTGTTCTTGATGTTTTGTTAATAAATGGACGAAAAATACAAAGCCAATGATAACTTATGAATGAAAATTAAGTATGATCAAACAATTAGGAACGAATTCTACAATTATTTTATAACTTAGGAATGAAAGTGTAAATTTTCCTTAATAATAATAATAATAATAATTTATTATTATTATTATTATATGATAAAATGTTTAATGATTTAGATTCCTATTATCTTGCAAGTGGATTGTCTTGTCAATGCTGTCTCATGCTTGTTGGTGTTTGACATCTGACTACGTGAACGCATTTTGTTATTAAGGCTAAATTAAGGTACGCACTTCTCTTGACATCAAGTGGAAAAAGAGTAAGTAATTCAATCAATATTTTGTTATAACTTTGATTTACAACCCCCAATCGCTATTTGAATGTGCATTTTGAATAAACTTCACTTGCAACTCTAACTCGCAATCCCTATTTGAATGTGCGTTTTGGTAAAACTCAACTTATACTTCTAACCACCAAATGACAATAATGAGGTAAATAAGTTTAGGTTGTTCATATCCAACCAAAGTAACATTTTTTTTTTTTTTTTGGTTATAACCTAAAAAAAAAAAAAAACAAACATTTTGCTATAACTTGGCCCTTATAGAGAATGTATTAACTGTATATTAACAAATGAATGTAGCAGAATATAAATACAATACAAAGAAGAGAAAGTAGCAAGAAATTACAACTAATACTAAACTAGAGTAATACAAGGAATAAGTCAGCTAACACATGTAGCCTCACCACGCCTTACCCATAATGTAATTTATGAATCATTTTAATTTTTGGTATATTAACTTTTTTTTTTTTTTTTACATTCAAAAAAATAAACTTTTTTTCTAGGGGGGGGGGGGGGGGGGGGGGGCAATATTGAACTATGAATGCAATGGAATCTCAATAGTCATTTTCAAGCATTTCAATCGTTATCTCAACTCTTATTACAAGTAGTTATCAGTTGATCTAAATAATTGATACAGGACACAAGTTCATGGACCACTTATCCTCAAGCCCTATGTTTATTATCTCATCATTATCAAATAAAATCTTACGGAGTATTTGTTTTCAACTCATATTATTTTATTCTCACCATTTAATCGGAACTAGTTTATTTTAAATTCACATCCAATCTATCAAAATATATATTATATGTCAACTATATAGTTATTCATGCATCGTCTTAACATAGCAATGAGTGAAATATAATTAACAAATCTTTAAACTTTGTCGTGCTAACAAAGCAAAAGATATAAACTTATTTTGAGTTGATTGATCAGTTGAATTGTGCACCAAAAGGTGATGTATGATTTATATATATGTCATGCATCATCGAGTAGATGCATATATGCAGGACAAACTAAATATTGTTGCGCCATCAATTTCGTTGAATAACGTACCTCAATCATTTTATTGGATATATAGGAATCAGCAAAAGTGATGAAACTTCATTGGACATATACGTTTATTTATTCATTTATTTTGGATAGGATAGATAATATCCTGCAATCAATTAATTGATAATATATAATAATATCGTATTAAGTATATACAAGAATTGATGATATTGATAGGAGGAATGAAAAGTTAGGAGATTATATATAGAAAAGGATAGGAATGGAGATGGAAAAGCGTAAGGGAATGGGAAATATGTGGGACAGATTTAAGTGAGGTTTGATGGATGGATGAGAAAGAATATGGAGTAGACATTTATACAATTAATTAATCTCATTCTTAGCTTGTACTACAGTCCATTGTTGTCTCATGTCTGTCTGGATAAGAATGAATACACAAATGAAGAGAAAAGAAAATGAAAGACTGTCGAAAAGCAAGCAATCCTTTCTCTTTCAAATCTCAATAAACATCGTACCTGTTATGTAATGTTAGTTCACTAGTTTTACTTATTTCTTGTTTGGTGCAATCAACACAGTTTCATGATAAAGATCGAATTTTTATTTTTACTTTTTTTTTCTTGCTTTGTTTAGACGGGGGAGAAAGATGATGTGCCACTCGTTTTTGTTCATTATAGTTTTTTTTTTTTTTTTGGGTGTCAAGAAAAACCCCAACCACCCAGACTTGTAACTCGAGCCGATAATGAAGCCTAGGTTGTCGATAGCTGACCGGCCCAAACCTTATTTGTATGTATGTAGTAACAGCATGTGCATGCAGATGTATGAGAAAGAGGATAAAATGAAGAATTAATAGAGTTCCATGCACGTCCTAAGAAACATAAGATGACATCTCATTGTGTCTTTAGAAGATGAAAAGAAGGTTGTCGGAACAAACTCTAAATCATCATCTCACAACACAAGTTTTCACCTACTTTACCTTATTCATGGCTGGCTAGCCCTAAGCACTAGCTGGCAGAGTGTCACGGCTCATGCAATTTTTTATGGCAATCATAAAACATTACAAATCGGAAACAACAACAACTAGGTGCTGCAGCAAAGTCGCATGCGCATGGAACAAATAGTTTTACTTCTACACGATGAATCACAGTACTTACCAGTGGTGCGTTTGGCGTTGATCGGGGAAGGGAGAGTAGCTGGTTGCTTCGGGTTCGGGTTCAGATTAGAGGTTTGGCGGGTAGTCCTTCCTAGCATCCAAACCAGACTGTTGGGAACCCATGGTGCTGTAAGTTGGTAACCCGAATCCCGGGGGCAAGAGAGGTGAGTTCATTGGTGATTGTGACCCTGCTGACACTTGCTTCTCTAGTGAACCAGAATGGGGTGAAGGATCGTTTGGATGAAGGCGTGATGAATCAAATACAGGGAGTTTGAAGCATCTGTCGCCCTGTGTGTAAGGAGCGTCGAATTGCTGCTGCTGCTGCTGCTGCTGATGGGCACCTCGTGGGTGGTGGTCCTGAGGATTCTCGGCTGACATTCCACCTGTAAGGGTTTTCAGTGCGAAATCTAAACACGGGTCTGACCAACATTCCCCGCTGCGATACTGTGGTTGTGGGTTTGGCACTGGCAGTGGTAAGTTCATGTCAACATCATCGTCGTGTGGTCCAACCACTTGCTTCCCTGGAATGCCCCGGTTCTCTGATGGAGGGAATAAAGGGTCGTCGCCTAGGCAGTCGTGATAAACCTCGGTTATTGGCTTATTAGCATCAAAGTGCTGAGGAACTTTCTGAGCTGGATTGGTGGGGATAGGGGCCAGAGATGTATTCACATCAATTCCGCTAGTGTTGTTCATAACAGAACCTTGAAGAATCTCTTCGCCAAGACCCAAATCGGCTACCACTTTCTGAACCGGATCATTGGGTCCCCACGATGTATTGATATCGATTCCACCAGAGTTTGGGATAGCAGTTTGAAAAGCATGTTCCCCAAAACCCAGTTTTGGAGCTGGATCACTGGAAGGTGGAGTGAGAGATGTATTATTGGCCTCATTTCCACTGGAGTTCACAATACCAGCTTGAAGAGTAGCCCCCCCATCATTAAGACCCAAATTGGTTTCCACTTCTTGTTTGCTCTGCGCAAGTCTTTTTGAGGTCC